GAGTTGGCACAGGGGGGGGGGGTAATCGAGCATGGTGATTACAAATACAATATTAGTTTTTGGTGTTACCCATTACTTTTATCGATTTTATCGATTTTTTTTCAAAAATTGAGCTGAAGAGCCGGGAGTTGGCACAGGGGGATAAGTGGGCATGCTGTTTTCGAAAACGACTGTAGAAGTAGGCCCAGGGAAAGGCTGCTGTACAAGGTAGGGATGGCCTTTATTACAGTGTTTTGAGAGGGCTGGGCGGAGCCGATTAAGCCGGCTAGTTTTATACAGAGTGTCCCAAAAACATGTGCACACTGTTTAATCGTTAATAACTCTCTTGCTTTCTTGTCTTTTGCCAAGCTTAAGGAACTGTTCTGTAGAGCGAGGTTCAACTTAGACTCGCAGTGCGAAGTGAATCACCAATCACTTTTCTTTGCTGTAGGATTAATTACGGTATGAAGTTTCGGCATACGGCGCCACTGTGGAATAGTCCCTTTGATGAAAAAAAAATTCCAAAAATTCTGAAAGTTTGTGTAACAAGGTGTTCAGGCAACTCACTACGTAACATTGCACCAGTCTTTCGAGCTTATTTAATGGCGTATTCACATTTCTGACGGGCAATGGGAAAACAGCTGCCACCATAAATCTGAAATAACTCATGAAAGAAGCACCGAATCGAAATTTTCATACTTAGCAGCGACTTCGATTAACCCAGTTCAGGAGATTCTGGCTTGTTTGGCCTTTTTTCTGACGCAAAATGCCGCTTTCAGTGGCTTAAAATCCTCATCGAAATTTCTACCGTAGTCCTACCTTAATGAAGATCGAATGACAGTTCGCTCTATACTTTGAATCTAAATTGAACCTCGCTCTACAGAATGGTATCTCGAGCTCGGCAAAAAACATGAAAGCAACGGAGTTATTAACGATCAAACAGTGCGCACATCTTTTTGGGAAGCCTTGTATAATATTATATGTAAATCACACAGGCATTGACTGGATTACTCGATCTGTTTTGTAAATCCCGAAATCCCAAATCTTGGCGGTGTTGTACAGTTATGAAACGCATTGTGTAACGAAACTCTTGTAGAGCAGAATTGGCTCTTTCAAATAGTACAGGAACATCGCCGTAAACGAACCGCTTCACCAGAAAACAACGACAAATAAAATGCGAACTTATGGAGCGACCTAATAGTTGCAAGACTTGTAAACGGCCTATAACTGACCGAATCTCGATAAAAAATCCTTTTTGTTTTAGCTTTATAAAAACGCCACAAACATAAACACATGCCATAATTATATTGATGTGCACGACGTTGCGCAATGGTACGCCGCGGTCTAAATCTTAATTCTAAAGTGTCGAATCGCTCTAATTTGTGTTCATATGATCTATTTTGGCCAGGGGGTATTTCACGTTGGTCCAGGCTTCTTTTTGGCAAGCTTCACTCACTTTGTTGCCTTCTAAAAAACTTTATTTCGTTCTCAGCATCGAAGAGGACCGAAGATGACCACGAAAGCCCAAGCGACTTCAGTCCTGGCCCTTTCCCCGTCATGTAGGCTCCGCCCACTTTTCAAAAATGCCCGTAATTTGCACGAATCCTTGTTTTTTAAGCAATTTCCAGTATTATTATATATGCAGAGTGGGCAGGGCTTGCCAAAAGGGGAGGGAGTCACCGCCCACTTGTATTTTTGTTCCCCAAACAAGCATAGATGGGTGCTTACATACAGTAGTCAGGTGTAAAAATGCATGGAAACGGCTCGTCTACAGGGAAAAAATGGCTTATCGTTGATATGTTAGTGACCTCGGTCAGGGCCTGGCACGAGGTTGTCAAAAGGGGTTTTTGAAAACGAATTCCCCTTTGACCCCAAAAATTTTTACGAATACCCTTTTGACTCAGGAAGTGGTCCCAGTGATTGCGCAGTGAACACCCTACCAAAACACAAAATTTTCATTCAAAAAATGTCCAAAAAGTTTATTCTCTGATCTGTTCCGACTCTGAACGCCTTAAGCCAAGATTTACATCAAGTCGTGATTTTCTGATGGAATCGAGGCATCAGCGCCATTTGCCACCACAAACAGACGTAGAACTTCCGTGGCAGTACTGTTATCCTGAATGAAAAAAGTCTCTCATGAAAGCGAAAAACCGCGACAACCGAACGAAAAATAATTGATGCCAAGAAACAGAATGTACTCAAGTTAACTGAGCTCAAAATCTGTAGGAAGAAAAAGCGATTAAAGGATGCTTTATCGAAAGAGAAGGGCAGAATACTTGATGTCTAGGAAGAGGATCTCTGCGCATGAGTAGCAAATGAAGTAGAAAGAGTTGGCAGTCTTGGCTGCAGAGCGCGCGGATCAGAGAGCAAATGATTGCACACCGCATTGCGAGCGATTGCACCCAAAATCGATGGCAAGACAGTTTACATTAGAATGGACGAAAGACGAGAAGGAAAACGTAAAACAGAAAAGAAAGGAAAAGTGGGAGTAATGAAGATACGTTGAAGCAACGCCGGTCATAGGGGTTAAGGACGCCGTTCTAATGCATATCAATTGGAGCGCGCTTTCCTCCTTAGGAAACTGGACTGCTGAAGCTATTTTCGGCTCTAGCAATGAGGAGAGAAAATTTTCAATTTATACTAACCTTTAGGTGTGGAGTAGATTTATGTAAAAATAAATTATGTGAACTGAAAGTTTTGACAACCTCAGGTCAAATGACAACCTAATTTGGAAATAAGTTGGGCACGCTCTTCATTCACATAAGTTTTCATAACTTTTCATACTTTATTACTTGATCCTACTGCGCATATGCACACCAAATCCCGCGCGATTTCGTCGTTGCAAACGAGCCATTTTCCACTTTTCAGTTTTTTGGCAGCGGAAAATTTTCAGAAAAGAGTTTGCCACAACCTTCACACATATTTTTTCAATGAAACTCCTAAGTTAACTCCTACAGGCTAGTACCCACGTACATACCAAGTTTCATACCATATCGTCATCTGCGCGTTGCAAACGAGCCATTTGAACTCACATCTTCATTTACAAATTTTGCAAAATTTTCGGAAAAAAATGCTTACTACTAGTTCCGTTCACATAAGTTGTTCATAATTTTTCATGCTTTGATTCCACTAGCCTCTCTCCGTTCGCTTACAAAATTTGGTGCCATATCGTTACGCATACATTGAGAACTAGTCTTGTATGCTGTTACAAACAGCATCGTTTAAGCGACGTCACGCGTGCGACAATTAGCGACGGCGCGGTTTGACGCGTGCGAACTCCAGTGTTCGCCTGTTGAGGCACATAACATGTCAAGATAGGCGGAGAGCATAAACTACCAATTTTTTTCCGGGCTCCGCCCCGGAAAAAAAACGATTTTCCCTTTGCTTTTTTACCGAAACGATTTCCAGCTTATGATTTGACAACCTCGTGCCAGGCACTGACCTCGGTAGACTTACCATTTACTACAATCTCTAGTTTATTCCAGCGTCTAAAAAGCTTCATCTTTTCATGTCTTTAATTTGGTTTTTAGATGAAAAAAGGAACTTTCTGGCTTATACGAAAAATGATATACTTTGTTAGTTCATACATTACACTACACATTCAAATCACGGAGGTTACAGTTTGCTTGAAGGCAGCGTCCGGGCAAAATTTCGTCTCTCATGTTTCTGCCATTCTGGGGCCTTTCCGTGGCCCTGATCACAGTTGTGAAGTCCAAATTGTTCAAAACCCCCAAAAAACTCGATTCTTGGAGACCCTCTCTTCAAGGAGCGGACGAGTTTTGGATTGCTCGTCCCCATCGCATGTCAGCTTGAGGAGCTGCACTGCACGGATGCAGTTGCATTGCAGTGTGCAATGCAACTGCAATGCAACTGCACACCTGCGTGAGCACTCGTCTTCAAGGCTGATTTGTGATACGAAAGGGCGGTTTGTGATACGTATCACAGGCCCGTATCTCCTTTTAGAGGCCACGTCAAAGGATCGGATCAACGCAGATCGGATGCTCAGGGGCCCCTCTTTACAATTATGTGCTAATCTGGGTGGATGATCTTGCCTGGACGCTGCCTTTAAGCTTTTGCAGCTTTGTGCCTAGTCCATTCAACTTGCCTTCAAAGCAGTGTCCGGGCAGAATTCAATTTGAGAATTTTTTTTGCTTACCTGGGCCTGTTCGCTATGTTATGACCGAAGATCCACATTAGAGAACTCGAAAACGGCGGAAAAGGGCATTAATGCAGGAGGGTTACTAGCAGGTGAGCGGAGTCTTCCATTCTGTGGAGTCACGACCCCAGCCTCCCGAGCGATTTTCTTCGCTAGCAGCCCTAACATCGCCACCAGCCAAACGCGAATTTGTGATCTAACCAGAACCGAGAAGATTGCTCCAAAAGTTTGGAGGGTGATTTCACAGGTTGGGGGACAATACAATACCCACCTCCACCCCCCCCCCTCCTTAGAGTCCTTTGTCATTTTCGCCCTTTTCATTGTGAATTTTCATGCAGCACAGCGAATAAGCAGAGGTAACCAAAAAACTTCAAAATTGAACTTTTTATCCAAAACCGCTAGCCTCTGCACTTTGATTACCGTAGGCAGAGAACCTTAAGTAGGAAAATGGCCTCAAACCTTCATTCTCGGGATAAAACATAGTTTTTTATAGTTCTGTATCAATTACAATTTTCGACATAAGATTCTGTCGTTCTGTATACAGTCAAAAATTCGCAATGTAATTGAAAAAATTGGCGGTTTTTTGGCATACATATTTTACTTTTGAAGAGAGAGAGCTGGTCGAATGCTTATTTTTATAAGTTACAGCATGAGATTTAGAAATGGAATGGAAGGTGAGTCGTTCAGGAATGTGTGTAACGAGAGCATTTCGTTTTCAAGTAACGTATGCCTAACCTCAGCTTACCCTATTACGAGTTTTAAGCGCGGAGTACTCACATCTTTCGGAACCACAAAGATATCAGAAAACTTCAGTTAATTCTGCTGTCCAAAAAAACATGAGGATTTCTGTATGGGGCTTTTTCAGAATTATTGTTGACGCCGTCATAAATAACATGGTAGGAGTAGGCCAAGTAAAAGGAGAGGAGGGTAGGGGCAGCAGTGGAAATTCGAATTTCACCGCTACCGAAGCAATGATGGATTTTCCTCAGGTAAGTCTAATCTTCCTAGTCGCTGGTATCTACAACATCAAATACATTCTACAAATTTCCCCCATCTATCACGACTAACTGTAGGTTCCGTACACGAATTCGGATTTTAACAAATGTAAAAGGAACATCACAGAGGATTCTGAAGAAGAGGCAGGAGACGTAAGAGAGAAACGTATCATTTACTAAGGAAGGAAAATGATTTTTTATAGTTGCGAAATTGTCGACTAAATGGATGGCTCGATTTGAATCAGGAAGTCCCTAATGTGCAAGATAGAATCATCGATTACTTGAACAGTCTTACAGGCGCAGGAGTTGCTGGATTCAGGTATTGTAAACTGTTGTTCACACCTCCTTCAAACAGCGTTTTTTATAGAATTGGGTCTTCAAGATATATGTGGCCCAGAGACCTCGAAGTGATCCAGAAAAGACTTAGCACGTTGAACAACGATGTGGGTACCCAATGTCAAATCTCCACTTATATTTCGACATCATTTGGAAAACGAATTTTTGACTAGTCTCTCAGGACGTCGTACTATTTAAGGGATATTCTAAAATGGATAATTCTAGATTTTTGGTTATCCTGAGTACCCATTCTTTGTTCATGAAGTCAGTGATCAAGACAAAATAATAGACTACTCGGATTACAAGCACTTAGGAAGGTAAGAATTGCGACTATATAAATTCAGTGCAACCAGGATGGTATGGTGATAAAGATAGATATTTGATGATGAGAAAATGTTATCAGAAGCTTGCATGCGCTACTTAAATTCCATTGTAAATTAGGTACAAGAAATGCAAAATGTGAGTTTTTGGCTCACCCCTTTACAATAATTGTAGAAAAAAACGACATTTTCCGACAGACAGATTTATAGTGTCGGTCTAAAAACCGCCGTTTTTTTGAGCCATTCTCAAATCTTAGTAAAAGTAAAAGCACACTCTGAAAGCAATTGATGCAGAATCCTTGCAAGCAGTCGCCCAAGTTCCGCTGCAAATGTTATTTGACGAAACGAGATTGCTCTAGAAGGTACAAGCGGCCAAGGTTGCTCTGCCCATCTGAGTGGGGTCCAAAGTTAACAAGTTTACAGCTGCGTTCAAATGTACCAAAATTGTCATATATCCACCCTCTATCATGTTATCTATCAGGGTCGCTCATGAATTGCCCTATCTGGGGCGCTATTTATCAATCTCCTAAATGAGAAGGGGTTCCTGTATAGGTTGCAGCCTATATAAGGGTGGACACTGGCGTCTGCGACATACGAAGCCAAGCTAGTGGTCGGGCTTCTGTCTATTTGAATGGTGCGATCTGGCAGGTTCAGCCATGTGGGCAGGTGCCCGATCGTGCCTGATCTCGACAGGTCGGGCTCTTTGCCCGTTTGGGGCACGCGCCCCAAACTTTCGTAGATCACGTGAAGGCGCTCTTGCCTGTTGGGGCACTCGGTAATGATAGCCCGAACAGCGTGTGGGAGATTGATAGTACCACCCTTGTGGCATCACAGACGCCGGCAAGTTGGCAAGCATCGCGTGTTGCCAACTTGCCGGCGAGGTAACTTTAAAGCCGGATAAATTGAGAAAACCATCGAGTACAACCGAAATGATAATAAGTTCGAAGTAGAAGTTTATGATATAACTAGATGGCTCCCCGGTCGGAATTGGGCAACTTAATCCCAAAAGCATTGAAACTTACCTCCCTTCTCCATATTGCCACGAAATGGTGACGTCTTCCTTGCTGACTTGAAATGCCGGATCCTTGTGGCCGAAAAATCTAGATGAACTTCACCGCCCAACTTACATGGCTGTAAGGAAATGATTCAACAATGGTTGGTGAACTCTCAATGTAAGTAAACAAATCAATAAAACAATGGAGGGGCCCAATGAATCGTCTCAAAAAGTAGCCTATCTTCTGCGCCTGGCCTCATTCATAGGGGAGCAAATTTCAGCCTCATCGGTTCACAAACAAGGAGTCTATAAGCCACATACTTACATACGAACAAATTTACAGGAGTGGTAGTAATTTGGTCGAAACCAACAAATGATGTGATAGTTCAATCATGGTTACATCGTGGTAAGCATGATCATCTTTTCACGGCCACTCAGTTCAATCGGTCATACAAAATCATGAAACAAGCAAGTAACTAGCAGAAAACCATAACTGTTTCATGCTTGTTTCATTCTAAACCAAACTATGAGTTAAACAGCAGGTTAACGCCATTGTTCCCTTATCAGATAGAGTAATGAAAACAGCACTTCATTTCATGAGACGCAGACGTGAAACCACCACATCATAGTTTAAAATGAAAAAGTACCCACGACCACTTTTTCGTTTCCAACAATGATGTGTTGATTTTGCAAGTTACGAAGAGTGAGAGATATCATTCTGCAACTTACTATGAGAAAGCTTACTTGTTTACATCTTAGATAAGGTTATAGGAAGGTGCAAGGCTGGAGACCGAACTGCAAATTTGGTAAAGTGCAATGATTGCCGACAGGCATGAGAATGGTTCGAGTTTCGATCTCCTCCAATGACTTTGCTTTGCAAGATAGCATTTCGAGGTTTCCTATTGGTTAATTCGTGGTTTCGTTGGGAAAATGATGTGAAGCTGCTGGTTAGCTGGTGTCATGAAAACACAGTTAACATGATGGTTTCGACCAAATTACTACCACTCCAGATTAAGTTTTATTTATATACCAGTGAGTCACCTCTGCTTCGCAGAGGCTCGCACTGGCTCTACTATCTGGGCCCTACTCATTCTTGCATAATCATGGCATTGGAACTCACCGAGCAATGCCACCTATCACGAACAAAATGTAAACAACTGATCATTCAAAAAGCGTTTTTATATGAAATCGGTGAATTCGCGTGGATGAGACTTTTTGCAGGGAAATAAACGCGAAATTTTATAGGTTTTTGACTTTGCCATGGTCTTGACAGTTGCAAAATTGAAAGCAGTCACGTGAGCTACCTCTTTGTGCAAAAATCTCCTCAAAATGCTTTCGCAAAACGTTGGCAAATTGACCATTTACGCAACTAATACTTTTTGGCACCGTTTTCGTAAAGTAGACATTTTATTAATTTCCTGGGCTTAACTTCATGGCTTGCACATTTACTTGGCATAAACATCCCGACTCTGCAAAAAGTGAAGAAAGTGTGCAAAAAACTCTGCAAAAAGTGTGTGTGTGTGTGTGTGTGTGTGTGTGTGTGTGTGTGTGTGTGTGTGTGTGTGTGTGTGTGTGTGTGTGTGTGTGTGTGTGTGTGTGTGTGTGTGTGTGTGTGTGTGTGTGTGTGTGTGTGTGTGTGTGTGTGTGTGTTTTCAGAAAAACTGCGGAGGGAAGAAAAATTTAAAAAGTCATAACTTTTGAAGGTTATGGATATAGGTTTGTGGCACGAGTATATAGTAACGACCCCAAAAGTTTTTAGCTCCTACAAGCTCTAGCTCGCGATTAATATCGATTCCAGTACGAAATCGATGTAAGTAGAAAGTTGTGGTTTCTGAAAAGCTTAAGATTTGCCGTACTTCTGAAGGCTGTAGTATAGAACTACTTATCTGAAATCACATGCTTTGCTCTTGTAAAATCAGCATGAAATTTCTATTCATTGATTTTTAGCCGATGAAAAAGTACAGCAACAGTATATATGATTGTCTATTGTGCAGTGTATATGCGTGAGCGAATGAGACTTTTGTAGGATTTTTCTGGACAAAGATGAAAAAAAAATTAATTTTTTTAGACAATCAAAACTTCTTAAACTTTGGCTTCAAACTTGAGGTGAATTAAAATCGAGCTTTTACATGTCATCTTGCAGAGCTTGATTTGCTCTATCAAATGGGACCTTGATGCCTGTTTGATATCTATATATATATAAAACTCAAAAATTGTCAGTTTGGAGGGTATGTGCGTTATAAAAACCGCGCCACTCAACCGATTCAGCTGAAACTTTGCACACATATGTTTTCGACCCTTGCGCAGATGATAGGCTACTTTTTGCGGCGATTCGTTGAGTCCTTCTATCGATTTATTGATTTGTTTACATTTCCCTAAGGAATTGAAGGGTTATCATGTTCAATCAAGCATTTTCCATACTCATGTAAAGGAGGGCGGTGAAGCTCATTTTCACCTCAGGATCACGAGGATGCGGTTTCGAAGCGGGTCCCAGGGTAAGTCATCCATACCATATAGGGCGGGGGGGGGGGGGGGTGGGAGGCTCGCAGTGCGGTGAACCATGGCCCGGGCTGGACCGGGAAAGCCAACTAGTTTAAGTATAAAACTCATAGCAATAACAATTCAAGAGTGAAAAAGCTTGTGGGACAACCTAATAGTGTCCTCAGTAATAAGGTTATAAATATCCAATTTAAAATTCCAATTGATTCCCTTTGATAAAAGCAGTACAGATGTCTCATTGCTTGATTCGCTATGAGTCCTCAATTTCCAAATTGCAGATATGTCAATACAAGTTTCGGCAATGAGATTACGGCAGCGGTAAAACAAGAGCTCTTCCAGTAAGTTATCAAATTCAAGAAAATACAGAAAGTGTTGTTTTTGAGAAATTTGAAAAATCTTGATATTGAACACACCGGAGACGACACAGTAGTCTTTATTGACAGCCATGAAACTCAGAGAAAAGATGCGGTGAGTCAGGATGTCTATCAAATTAATGTTCTGTTTTCTTTATGAGACGATGGTAATTCTTTTCTATCTGCAGCTGTCATATAAGAATGAGGAAGAGTACAAAACTGCTGTAGCGTTTATGCTCGCTTGGCCGTACGGATTTCCTAGAATTATGAGCAGCTACTTCTTTGAAACTTATGACCAAGGACCACCAGTTCGTCAGGTTAATAAGGTATGAAATCTCTTGATAGCCGAAGAGCATTTTGTGTAATCTGAAAAATTTGGAGGCCAAGTTCAACAGCGACTTGACATGTAGCAAGGATTCTGGCTGGGTTTGTGAGCATCGATGGCCGGTGATAAGGTAGCTCTACCTATTATAATACACGGGTAATAGCAAATAAATGCTTTTTTCAAAGAAATATGGTAAAGTTCCGGTCAATGGTACAAGGAGTCGAACATCATGTGGTTTGTGAAGAAACCTATTTCTAAATTTCTTTGTTGAAAAGCGACTCTTAAGAACATCTCGGATTATAATCGTATTGCTATTACATATAAAGGAAAAGGCTTCTTTGCCATTAATGGAAATGACTGGGTTTGGTGGACGTAAGAAATTTATGTAAATTTTCTTATATCTGAGGCTTCAAAAATTGGTTCAGAGACTTCAACACGACCTTACCTGAAGGCAAATACTGCGATCTTTGGACTGGTTCCCTTGAAAATGGAGATTGCACAGGAGAAAAAATTGTAGTCAGAGCAGATGGTAGATTGGACGAGTTCATGTTTACACATCATGCCAACATGCCAATTTCTTACTCTCGTTTAGGAATGTCTGATATAGAAATTGACCGTATAGTTGCCATATCTGAAGCGTCGAGAATAGGTAGACACAAAAGCTTTTCATTTCAATTGCACGACTAAATAGACTATCGTAGGATATGTGGATCCCACAACGACCACTAAACCGACAACAACTACGCGCACAACAACAACGACGAAAACAACTACGACTACAAAAACAACAACTCCTACTACAACTACTACTACAACACCAACTCAGTGGAAAAGAACTGTGCTAATGCTCCAATATGGCACGAAACCCGGGGAGTATATATTCTTCCGAGGTGGAACTGCCCACATGCACAAAGAGAGTAAGTTTCCACTCATAAAATTAGGGTATCGAGTAGTATTTGCAAACTGGAGGAAATGAACATCAGCAAGGGTCACTTTAATGTTGATCAAATTTTGCTATTTCATCTGCGCAACGACAAGAAGAATTCACGAGCTTGTAAGTCTGAATTTGCTAAGAATTTAGTGTCATACAGTGGACGAAATGAAGTCCAAAAAACGTAGAGGCTGGTCCCGCACGAAGACAGATGCCCACTTAAAGGCAGTATCTCGGCAGATTCGCGCCCTGAGGGATATTGCTGTGGTGGAGTTCCTGGTCATCCCACTGACCTCCAGGCGCAGTCCGGCTGGCTGATAACCCCTGGCCGAGAAAGTAGCCCTTGAACCGGCGCGCGCAACCCCAATCGGCGCGCGCTCGGACGACTGCGCTTACTGTTCGGCGCGGGATCCCACGACCGCTCTCCCTCATTGTGCATGCTATCCGAAACTTGATCACAGGCAACAGGGTCTTCGTGCCAGGGCCTGCCAACTTTCCATTGAAATTCTCGTCTGAGCCCCTTTTTGAAAGTTGCGTTAACCCCGCGAAAAGGTCTTTTTACCCGTTTCAAAGCTCAAATTCGGGGTGTACGGGTCAAGAAGGGCCAAATCATGCAGAAAAATGGAAATGCAAAATCTGCCGGCACACAGATAAGTGCACGCGAAAGCGGTGCGCAAATGATTGTTAGTGGAGAGGGTGTGCATCCCACGCGCCTGTAATAGTAGATGCTCAATCACCGCATTCGCACCCGCTGTGCAACTGGAAACCGTTTACCTTTATTTGGAACTAGCCTTTATTTGCGTTTAAATACAACTCGTATGTCCCATGAGTATGTCTATACTGTTCAACCGTTGGAGGCAGCGCGCAGGCAAATATGACCACCTGGGGTATCACGTGGAAGCTGATTTAGGGGCCTAAGTTACCACTGTCCATGCGGCAGTGAGAACGATTTATCCACAGTAAGAAATTCGCCTCTAAACAACTAGATCCTGTTTCGTATCAACAGGCGATTTCCATCTGCTCGCATGCTTTCGCACGAGAATCCATGCGGGATTGAGGGGTTGTGGTACGAAACTATGCGAGCATAAACAAATCGTCCATGAATATGATATCGGGGTAGAGATGAGTATCTTAGCCGCAAGTGCACCATCCGAGCAGTCGGTTGGGCACTCTTTGAAGCCTGTAAATTACTTTATATATAAGATCCTTGAAAGCCCATATTTGTTTGGACGGTGCCTTCAATAATCTTCTCACCTTGACGCATTTCATGGATCTTTAGGTATCGATTTGTAGGTCCGATCCTCATCAGATCAGCAGTACAAAGCGAATAACCGATGGTTTTCATCAGCTGCGATAGGGAATATTAGCACATCAACTCTCTGGTCACATTATGAGAAAAACAGGCTGCATAAACGCTAAAATCAGAGTGTGTTCTCCTCGCGACGCATGTCCCCTATGAAGACCTCCAGCGAGTTGGGTAGAAGACAGTTCGTGGAACGGATAGACCAGCTGATAAATCGGCGGGACAGTCCTACACCTTCGTGGACGCAGTCATCGACAACACCCAAAAAGACCGTGGATGTCTGAAGTGAGGGATAGGGAACACTGGAAATTTTTGTGCTGGACCGCGCACGTCACGTGAAGAGAGTCCATCTTACAATGCAGGGTCGCGAAGTCAAAGTAACCGATTACCACAAACTGTATACACTAGTGAGAGCTTCAAACGCTAATTCCAATTCTGCACTCCCAATTTGCAGAGCTCTTCTGGAAAAGCAGTTGTGAGCATTTTTTGAGAAGAAAATATGAACAGAATTCTGAGATAAAATCAATCGCTACGGCTTTTCTAGACCTCAACTGAAGCAGCTGCAAGTATCAGAATGCTTGATACAATGAGCTCATTTGCTTAGTATATCAGTAATTTCTACTGCTCTAGGCGACATCTAGAAAGGGCGTAACGATTGATATTATCCCGAAAATTAGTTCAATTTTTCGGCTCAAAAGTTCATAACTTCTTTCCCAGAGGCGCTCTGCAGATAGGAAAGGCAGATTTGGAATCAGCACTTTAAGCTATCACTAACTGTATGCAGTTTGTAATGATCGACCACCTCGACCTCGTGACCCTCCCTAATAAATCTATCAATAAGTATTCAACAACAAGCTCTTTCTGATAATATAATATTTCCCTCCAAAAAAACGAGAAACTTGTGTGGAGGGACAGTGTATGCCGATTATTAACTTTACATAGTATCTTGAATGAGGAAAAAAGCGGGAAGACATTTTATAAAAAGTTGAGAAAAAATGGCTTTTTGTTGGCGTAGCCGCTCGGAGTTCCTTACCATGTTACTACAACAGAGAACGATCGAAGATTCTTCTGCGATGCAAACCTAACCTGAAGGTGATTAAACGGGCGTTATATGTGCATAATTCTGCAACTCCGGTAAATGTGTTCCCTGGTAGCCAGCAATCTTAAAACCACTCTGAAACGCGTGCTTGAGCTAACGTTTATTTGGCGACCAGGCCACCTTGAGCGAAACTCCCACTAACTTTCTTGCGCATTTGGCTCATGCATATGCGCGTATGCACGAATCATCGCTGGGTTTTTTTGACACTTATTCATAAAACACAAAGTTTCTACAGAATTTACATTCATGTCACAGAGTCTTACCAGCAAAACAAACATAAAGGCCCATAGTAAAGCCAGTTCAGTTCAGGTGAACTGAACTGAGGCCCTCATCCGAGATTCAGTAAGGCAGACTGCCTATCACCAGCTTCCCGTGTTGTAAGAATGCAAAATGAGATTTCAGGCGACCGTCCGTCTACCTGACGAGGTAGTCTACCTTACTTCAGTCAATTCACATTCAGTTAGACTACCAATGATGTAAATAGTGTGCCAATGATGATACGCAGAGAAGCTCCTGAGTAACTTACGATACACGTCACTTCAACATGTCGAACATACTGAGTGAGGAGCCACAGTGCAGGGTGACGATCTTTAACAAGATTTAGCAAGTGCGACCACATCTCTGCCGCCATAAATACGAATCTTGATGAACGCGTTTTAACTTGTATACTTGCATGGACGTAGCGCCCTCAATCTTATCATCGTGGGCGGTTGGCAATATCAATCAATGGCTCGACTGAAGGCAAGCTGACTCGTCGAAGCCTCAACTGAAATTTTATTCAGTTGAGATTGAATGAAGCAGCTTTACGGGCCAAAGTTTTTTGCATCGATTTCTCAATACACCGAACAATGCGTATATTTGGGAAATCCTCCGAAAAAAGTGTTAAAATTTTGCGTCTTTTTTTGCCTGGATTCATTTTTGATTACTCTTAACAATTATACAGATTTTTCGCCTTCTCAAAAAATTTTATCAGCATACACTTACCACATCAAAAATGGATTGAATACCCGAATTTGCGGTTTAGACTCACAAACAGCTTCTGCGATGCCCTGTGTGCTATATTTCAAAACTAATTTTTTCTATTTGAAAAACTTCGTCAGCGTATTATGCACATAATCCTTACAGGCTTTACTTACCTCACCATTCGGCTCACAATCCCTTTTAACACGTTAACGACGAGCCATTTTTTGAGGTCTGCCCTGCACACGAGATGTTTCCGTGCATCCTTACGCCTCCATGTACAAGGCTCCTAGCCGAGAATGTCGGAAATTGCACAAATTCAAGAATTCATGGGAATCCCGCTACCTTTGAAAAATGCGCAGAGCTTGCCATCTAGGGGGCGGAATTTGCCTCACGGTGGGCGGGGCCTTGCTAGAAGTTGCTTGAGTTCTTTGCATTCATCTAAGGCCTCATCCATGCTTTTTATGAAGGAAAAGGGTGCTTATGAGGGGGCATAGGAGTGGGCGAAGTATGCCAAAGGGAGCGGGGCTAATACGTGAAGTACATCTAAGCCTATGTTGGTTATATGAACAAAAACTGAGAAGAATGGACAAATAGTATGGAAATTAAGGCCGCCGCGCATTATTGCGCGGCACTGTCGTCAAATTATTAAAGAACCTTGCATATAGAAATGGACTTGTATTACGCGCGTAGGCGCTTTTGCTGACATGCCTTGCTCTCCATTTTCCCGTTGCAAGACGCTTTGATCAATTTTTTGTCAGAGCACTTCGATTTCTTGAACCATCCTGAAATCTTGGCGTGTTTTATCGATGTGTGCACACGTATTTTACATCGCAATGATAATATTATGTTTAGGCTGTCCTCCGCAAGACAGGCTAACTCCATGTGCAATCCCCATCAGACACACCAACATGACTTTCAAATCTCATTACGCAATTGACTGGTACTATCCATGGAGCTCTGGCGATAAATACCTTGACTGGGAGCCAGCTGAAAACGGGCAAGGTTGAAGCGTCTGTCATAGCCATATTGAAACTTCAACTAGCTTTTGTTTCAAGGAAAGCATTATGAAAGAGAGTCATATGGTACTCCCAGCGTATACTCTGACAGTAATCAGAACGCTAAGGAATATCATATATACAATAAATATGGCAGAGCATTCTGGATGGTAGTGTTGGATATGGATTGCTCACAGACTGAAAATGGATGGTTCGAACTGAAGGTATATATAGCTCAAGCTGAGTATTTAAAAAAAAACTTGTTTTTTTCAATCTAGGGCTTCCGTACGTTCGGTAATTGGGCAACTCAATGGGAAAATGATATTAGACAAAGTACTTGCGGTGGAAGTATTGGAGGTCCACCACCGTTCCAGAGTAAAAATCACATTGCTAGATGCGGAGCGCAGAACGTATTCTACTGGGGCAGCAATGGTTGTATAATTGATGAAGTTCCTAGCTATGATCCGTAACAAAAAGCAAGGACTGTAAATTCTCCGATTGTGTGCTGCACGTTGTTTATGTTAAGACCCCAATAAAGTTGATAGAATAAGTGACACCTTCTCAATTCTACAGTTGATAAAATTTTCTTCCAAATTGATACAGAGGTGGAGGTTTTCACACTTTGAGCTTCAATGTTCTAATTTCGTGCAGGGTAGATTTTCTTGAAGAAGGATAAGAATGGGAATCGCTACGAACGACTTCAGATAACAAAATTAAACCACATCCTTACTATCCGCAGGTGGAACCTGCTTGCATAACTGTGACACGAGTATACTTATTCGGTTGGCGCAAAAGTTCTTGGACATTCAGAGAGAGTTTCTCGGACGTAAGCTAAGCACTGATTGGGCCATGCTGCACACCTTTGGGTAAAGAAAAGCGATTCTCATAGAACTTTGGTAAGCACGGCATATCAATGTTTTCTATGAAAACTCAAGCGAAAATATAAAGCATAGGATTTTGACCTAACCTAGATCTCCAACCTCCACGAACGTTATAAAACCCCCACACGCTCCAATTCAATGCATAGACACACTTACCATTGGCGTACCGACCCCCCCCCCGAGAATGGGTGGCGAAATTTTTGAAATTCACTTCAATGTGTTATAAATGAATGTCCGAACGGAAATCCTGAGTACGCTACTGATGTTAGGTTGTCACATAAGTAATGCTAACTTTTTTATGCATAACTTTTTATATAACTTTTGTCTTTTTGAACCTAGGGCATTCAAATTTTGGCACGATGAGATTTATGATGTAAACTGCAAATGTAGACATTTTTTCCACATTTTCATTTTCATCTTATGTAAGGGTTAGGTTTAAAGTGAATTGCGTGAATAATGGGAAAATTTTAGATTGCGTTTGACTTGTTTCTAATTCTTAAAGGTGCCTTATCTTGATCTTTCTCAAATTTCACTTCTTTTTGATTGATTCCAATGTGTCAACTTCTAGCTACATGCTGCCCATAATTCCTTTTCAGTATTCTTGTGTCAGGTTTTGTACAACTTCATGTTTGCCAAAAAACCGCGAAACCTCGATTTTCAAGGGTTTTCGAAAAATGCTTGAATTTGTCTGGTACGTTATCAAACTCAGACAATTTGCGCAGACTTGTAGCTTACGTCACAATGTGCATGATATTATCAGAGAATGAGATTGCTCTATTTTGAATGAGAAAAAAGTTATGGGAAAAGTTGCAAAGCTTATGTGCAAACCTAATACTTACATATTTACACGCACAATATATGGAATCTGAGCTCAAACAACGAGAAAAACTAGGTGATTAAAAAGTGGCGAACAGCGAATTTTTGAAAATGTAGATCGGCTCCCAGATTCGTGTGGAGGCGGATCACGGGCTTCCCTGATTTTAAGGTTAAGCTTAAGGAGAGAGTGCGAAACACAGTGCTATAATGTGGAGGTTTTATCCTGAAAGTCAGGGAAGTCCGCAACCCACCTCCACACGAATCTGGGAGCCGGTGATACATGCACTAGATTCTGAAAACAAAGCAGATTCAGTTTAGAAACGTCCAACAACATTCCAATCAGTCTAATATCGTAGCAGCTCATTTTTAGAGAATACACTGTCATCCTGCTTTTCTCTATCCTTCCTTACCAATTGCCTGTAGTTTCTGCAGTACTTTTCTTTCAATATTAAATTCACATGCCACACTCAGTAAATCTTCATAAGAGCAAAGTTCAACATGCTAGCAGCAAATCAATTATAATACATTTATTAATATGTCTATCTCGAAAAAAGACATAACACAAATATTGTGTGTGATTTCTTCTTCAAACCTGATGATAAAGATCATGAAACTGAAATAAGATAAATTAATTTTTCATATAATGCGAGAGATGTGCTCACTGTTTACTCACGAGACGTAGCCGTACGAAGATGATGTGGCCTAAATTGGCGTCGTGGATCCTTTGGATTTTTGGAGGTTTCCTAAATATAATAGATTTTACGAGTAGATTACAAAAAATGTAAATTACCTCCGGTCTTGCCGTCGTCATTTCGGGCCGAACCGTATCTGGTGAGACGGGGCACCAACCGCCCGTGCAACTTCGGGACTCGAAAGAGCTTCCTAAATTCCCTACTCTTGATATGGAGACCTAATGGATACGTAACCTTTGCTCAACAGGTATGATCTGGAAGGCGGGGCGTTGTGGCCTGATTGAGGCCGCCTCGCGCCCGCGACGTAGTCTGCGTATCTCCCGTGCGCGTGCTATCTGATCATTACCTAGCCTCAACTAGTCACGAAGCCCCGCCTTCCAGCCGCCAAGCCACTTGAATTGAAGAGTACTTACCCTCACACCCCGAACTCATTGCACCTGTGTACATGCACCGCCTTGTTCGCACTTGCTTTTCACAGAAGCATTCTGCCCAGGAACCCCACTCCGTCCAATGGGTGTCTGAATTGAACCTATTTGACTCCTGTCAGATATGTAGATGGAGTATCAACTTACCATCTATTCTACCTACACCATCTGTAATTATGTGCATGGGCTGTTGATGAAAATCCTGATTGCTTCCGGGTGAAAAACCGGAATTTGGCGGAACCAAAGACAAATCCATGGCTGATTGTTCTGGCTGAATGAATCGTATATATTTTATATATTTTCTTGTAGTACGTGAAAAAAGTCCGAACCTTGATAGGATAACTTTTAATGGCCTTCGTATCATTTATTTCTGAATTGCCTTTATTATTGTCAATCTCAACAGCTTGTTTCTCCATACCATCCACCAGACCCTGAAAATGCATTACTAAAGTTTGCGATTCGTTTTGAGAATTTGCTGGCAAAATTTCTTTCCATAAATTTTCGTCTTAATTTTTTAAGAGGTGATGGATTCGCAGCAACATACGCAAATTATTAGAAATAACTGAGCATGCTCTCTATATGCTTAATGGTTATGCCGAAAAGCTTCCTCACTTTAATTTTTAGCCTACAAAGGTGAACTAAGAGACGAAAAGACGCATTTTCAACACCCGCTCTTATTTAAAAAAAGCGTTTTTTCATAGAAATTTTAGCCTGTTTTGGAAAACAGCTTTTGCACTTTGATATGAGACAAAAAAAGTAGGATTGCTTCAAAAGCACGAGTTATACGGGGTGTTGCATGAGCAGGATTTTTCGTAGGGCGAACCGGACTTGCACTGAAAGTCACTAGACGAGAATAAAGCGGTCGACCATAACGTGCTCTACCCAAGCGCACCGTCTAAACGAGTCCTTAGGGCAGAAAGACCGAAACACAGTCCCTGCGAGTTCTTCTGCATGACAAATGGCTCCTTAGGTGACGTCGTTAAAATTCTCCTGCATTTGACCCGGAATTACCCTTTGATTCTACTGGCTTGGCGGCTGGAAGGCGGAGTCTCGTGACCTAATTAAGGCCATATAATGATCGGGGAGCACGCGCGCGACAGAGACGCAGACTGCGTTGCGGGCGTGAGCAGCCCTAGTAAGATCACAAAGCCCCGCCTTCCAGCCGCCAAGCTAGTTGAAGCAAAGGTTACACTTAAACCCAACCCAACTTACAAACCTCGCCGTGCCAGCATTTTTACCGCACTCTTGCACATCTTATAAACGGTGCTTGATCTAATTTTGAAGATGATTTCAGGCGCTGGTTACGACTTTTTAGGACAATACCCACTGAGCATTAAAAAATGAGTTAAAAATCCTGAGTGGCAGAAAGTGCACAACAAGGGAACATACATTAATGAGTGAATTTTGACAGAATTCTGCTATTCGCTTATTTCATGGAAACGCTACAAATTCATGAAATGACCTAATAGTTAAACAGTTTATATGCTTAGCGCCTTCATTCAAAATGACGAATAATTAACTAGGAAGTGTGGCTTCAGATAACTGAACATGATCAATTTCGATGGTACCAGCGAGAGCTAAAAGTTCCTATCTACAAATATTAAAACAACAATAAGGTCAAACTTTAATCATTCGTAATTTATAAATAAAGATTCAAATAAGCATTTTTGACTTCTCCAGTACAAGCAAATATTCAAAGTTGATGCTGAGCGATCTCCCAGCTCTCGAGTAAGTTGCAGGTGGCAGCCCGAATGGGGCAAGCCTATCTCCCCCCCCCCCATCCGAGAATGAGTCGCAAAAAGTTACTTGCATTACAGTGGATCGTTCGGGGAGGAGGCAAAAATTTTCGCTGTTGAAGGTGCGTGGCATCAGCCACGCACTCCGAAGAATTTTGAAGTATGCTTCTTGAATTTTTTGCGGGCCCATAACCCCGAAAAAAGGGGGCGTGGCTGATTTATAAGGCTAAAATGACTTTTTAAAAATGTTTAAAAATTATTTCGATCAGTTATAAGTATAGGCAGGTCACTTGCACATTTTTATAACTCATGTGAGTAATTTTCAAAAATCTTCCCCTCCCCCCCCCTTCCACAATTGTGAGCAATCAGATCAATTTTTCAACATCTTTGAAAAACTTAGCTTTGGCCTGTAAAGAAATTTCGGGGGGGGGGGGGAAGCAGGAGGGGGGGGGGGAGGTGTAAGTCCTCAAAAAATCTAGAATGCATCCAAAAAAAAATCCGGAGTGCGTGACTATTTCGGGCGGAAATCTTGGGACCGCCAACGTACTCTTTTATTCAACTGACTTGGAGGCTGGAAGGCGGGCTTCGTGGACTAATTAAGGATAGGTGATAATTAAAGAGCACGCGCGCGAGAGAGACGCAGACTGTGTCGCGGGCGCGAGCGGGCTTAATTAGGTCACAAAGCCCCGTGTCGCGTCTCGCGATGCAAGGCGCTCCTCGAAGTACGGAGGCCGGGGGCATCGGTTACCGCGCTATCCGGCGACGATTACGGTAGCCGAGACGCGTGTTGCCGCGATCGTCTCCGGACCTCTCCTTAATTGGCTCGTTGCCAGCCAGGCGGCTATATAAAGCGGCGGCGCCTCATTTGGTTGCCTTGTTCACCTTCGTCTTATTGATTGGTTTTGAATATCTTGTTCAAATTACGTTTCAGCCGCCTTGCTCCTGTCCTTTTTTGTAAGAGCAGTTGAGCCGGATGTCTTTTGGATTAGAAAACGGATTCCCTTTTTGTTAGCGCAAGTCGACGCGCCTAGTACTATCCGGAAATCATCTACAGGAGCAGGAGGGGACGTGCCGTCGTCTACACCTTGGCGTTGCGCGGTGGATTTGTTGCGCGAAACCTCGAGAGCCTAATGCATTTTTGAGATTATCTGTAGACGCGCATCGGTAGCATAGGACGGGCCCTCGTCCCGTGTTTTAGCAGTAGTAGTATTTGTTTTGTTTTAGTGTAGTATTCTTTTTATCTATTTTAACTGTAGTTCAGTGTTATTAGGATAAACCACTTAGTTAACCTTATGTTCTGTTTGGTCGCGCGTTATTGCGCAGTAGGCTAGGTACGTCGTTTGTTATCGGGCGAGCATCAGGCCTCGGGCAATATCTAGGTGCCATGAGCCCATTGAGTCGCCACATGGTGCATCGACGCCGAGCGCATGGTGGATGCGGTATTCCGTCCGCGTGTGGGTTTTTGTTTGGGTAGCCGCGTTCCTAAGTCGCGATGGGAGGTAAATCACAGCAGGTTTCGCGCAGTAAGAGCGCTTTTTAGCTATCCCATCCTCCATGCGTGCATAACGATCCCGTAGTCTACCACGCTCCGCACCTAGTTTACCATCAGGGAAGTAGTTGGACAGGGCATGCTCGTCGCGTCATCTAGGTTACAGGTAACACATAGCATTGCAGCCGCGCAAAGTATAGCCAATGCGTGGGGTGATTAGTAGTAGTTGGTGGCAGCAACTGCTGACTATGAGCTCCAGGCGCCAGCGCATTGTCTTATACGGGTATGGCGGTGGACTCAGAAGGGCTATCTGGAGTGGTGTGAGGTCGTTGTTCTGACCTTTTAGCCGCGGGGGCAAGAATTCCGCAGGGGTATCCGCAGGGGCTAATTCGCTGTAGGGGCAAAACTGTCGTAGGGACATCCGCAGGGGGAGGCCACTGCAACAATTTCATACCCATGGCTCCAGGTAGTTCTTTCTGGTATGCAGCCGCTTTGCTTTGTTCATGTTTATTCGCGTCGCTCTACGGGGAACGCTCTGTCCCTTCTTGACCACCTTGTTCAACTGCTTGCCTCGCGCCTACTGCTATCCTCCTAGCGTTGTCGCGCCAGTTGGGTTGTTTCCCTCCTTAGTGTTCGTAGTTAAGGTATTTAGTATGTAATAGCTTGAGCTCAGATTTGAGTTAGTTTAGCGGGTTGCCCCCTAACATTTTTGCGCAATGTTTGTTCTACGTGTGTATATTCGTCGTTCAACGTTGCTTAATCGTTCCGGCTGTCCCTTGCATTTTCAGATATGTCCGCTCTTGGCTATCAGAAGGCTCAACTCACGAAAGCGGCCAACAGACTGCGCAAGAAGATCGCGGAGGTCAAACAGGCCAATCTTGTTATGGAAAGCCCTACATTCGAGCCAGGCAAGGACTACGAACTTGTTAAAAATCATACTCGTTTTCTTTCGAACTTATTTTCTTTGATTAGTCGCGCTGCTTCTTCCTTACGCAGCCAGCGGGAGAAGGCTGAGGAGTTTGCTCGTCAGAACCCAGACGAGCATGGAGAGTTTTCCCTTCTCCAGGAGATTCTCGCGCACTGGGACTCCAGTGAGATGGATGATCTCTTGGACGAGGCGCACACGCTGCTTGACCGTTTGGGTAATGAGATCAAACTCCTCCCTAATGCGGATATGCTCTACGATCGCTATGTTTCTTCGATTGCTTCCATGCCTACAGTCCCCAACTCCAGCTTGTCACCAGCGTCTTCTAACACCCTTCAACCCTCTGTCACCACCCACCAGCTCGCGCAAGATGCGGATGTCGAGCGCGTCACCCATTTGTCGGAGCAGGATCGTCCATCTGATCCCTTATCAGTCGCGCCTGCTGTTCACCCCACTGCGAGCGACTCTGCGATCCCAACACAGGGTGAGCAGTCCTCGCAGCTTCCCCTTGGATCTGGCATTCCCCCGGGCAACCCATCAACGGACCCCGTTCTTTCGGTGAACCCTCACCCCCCTGGGATCCCCATCACTCTGCCATATCCCAGTCCCAACCCCACTAACCCATCCTCGTCCCTAATCCCACATCCTCCTACCCTGGAGCAGTCTTTCACCATACCCGCATACCACATACCAGCATTTCATGGCGACATTGCCAAGTTTCCCGCATTTTGGACTATGTTCAAAAAGGCCGTGCACAACAACACCAGTGTATCCGTTTCGTTCAAGTTCATGTACCTCCAGTCGCGCATGAAAGGAGAAGCAGCTGAAATCATCGCGGACTTCGAACCTAATGAAGCACACAGAAGCAGTACGCATTATCGAGAGCACTTATAGCAGACCCGAGCTCCTTCGCAATCGTCTCTGGGAGAAACTCAAGCACCAGGCACGCGCGAGAGATAGTGCTACTTCTCAGCGCACCACTCTGTGCAGTATAAGAGCAACTTGGGCCCGGATGAAAAGACTCAACGAGGAGTCTCGCTCTATCGCCGTACTGAAGACCATCCATTCGAAGTTCCCAAGGCATACGTGCGAGAAAGTTGCCGAACTGAAGAAGAAAGGAGATCCGATGTGGACGGTCGACGAGCTATTGGTAGCCCTCGATGAAGTGATCGATCAGCAAGAAACCATAGAGGATACCGTTCCTGAGTATTATCCCACCTACAACTCTGACTCTGCAGTTCGTCAAGGTTCTCTTTCCCCGCGCAGGTACCCTAGTGAGCAGCCGAGTAGATCATCATACGATCAGTCATCTTGTGCTTGTTCGCGCAGCTTACGTTCACCACCTGGATACCATTCCGTGAGAAGTCGATCGCCAACACCATATTATTCGACGCTCGTCGCGCAGTCCAGCATGTCCACCACAGCACCAAGAATATCGTTGCGTCTTCTGCGAACGGGAAGGACATCGACCGGAGAACTGCTTCGAAGTAAGGAGCGTCAAACAGCGCAGAGCCATCGTTAACGAAAGCGGACTTTGTTGGATGTGCTTGAACCAAGGTCATCAATGCAGATTTTGTTCAGCACCTACGTGCGGATACTGTGGCAGAGCTCACCATCCTGCTCTGTGTTTTGATAGACCACGAGCGTCTTATTACAGGCCATCGACATCTACCTATCATCATGTACGCCTAGACGCGTCCAGTTCGAGGAAGAAGCGTGTACCTGTCGTCGCGTACAACACAGTTCACGCACACCTTCGCCGAGTGTGAGCAAGTTAAGATCGCCTTCGTCATCCGGCGCCGAAAGTATTCACCCAGTACAAGACGTGCAGGTTCCATTCTACGATCGTCTAGCGCGCCTCCCGTCTCTCAGAGCTCCATCTGTATGAACCAGCAGCCTATCTACCCGGAAGCCTCCGCATCGACAGCGACGCACGAGAGCAAATGACCACTGAGGAAAGTAAAGGCGAACCACTAATCCTGAACTAATATTTGTTACTCTTTTCAAGTATAGATTTAGTCAAATTATTTAGTTTCTTATGTGTTTTCCTTTTTACTTTGTTACCTTTTAACCTTTCTCCCTTTTGTGTTCGAAATTTAGGTCACCCTTGCCTTCTGCCAGTCCATTGCCTGCTCGAGCTGTTGCGTTGAACCGTCTCTCTTCCACTCTAACGGCCAATACAGGTGGCTCTCGGTGCGCTAACGCAGGTTGGTACTCAGATGAGCTTACAAATTGTTTTTCAATCTTTCACTCGTTCTACTCCTTTTGCTCTAACTCGGACTGTCGCGCGTAGCATGGATCTCACTTTTAGCTGCGCTCCAAACGTCTTTAGCATTATCGCATACTGCTTCACCTAGTCCACATTTTAATTACGCGCTACATGAAATTCAGCTTGCGAGCATTTGCTTTCGGCTATTTACTGTGGTCGCGAGAGGCTGGACTACATCTATTTGGCAGCAGTTTTTACGATATTGCGTTTTTGCTACTGAAAAAAAACAGCATTGTTCGCAGTTTTTAAGAGTTCCTTGCACGTAGGTATATATATATATATATTTGGCCCCATAAAATCAGGGGAGACTTTTTTCCTTGCGCCCCAAACATCGGCAGTAAGCTCGCGCGCCCTCTTGTGCTGTTTAGGTGCGCGCATTGTAGGGTTTCGTGTGTGGCTGTATGCTGGATCTTTCCGTCTAACCACGAACTTTGTGTAGTAAGCATGGTTCTTTTCTATCGCTCATTGACTATGTAAAGATCATGTGTTACAGTACCGTTCCATCATTCGTGACGCACCCTGGTCAAATGGAGCTGTGTTTATCTCGCCTATACCGAAGAAATGGCCCAGGTCTCCAACCCACGAGCAGCAGCCACTACCCGTTCTACGTCCTCTATGATCATATCCTAATCACCTTCATAGCAGTAGTTTTTCGTAGTAGTTAGTAATTTTCATATAATCATTTCTGAGCACATTTAGCCACCTCATATTTTATCTTAGTATTTACTCACATCACATAATACTCATTTCATAGATATTTTGAGTTTTATCCTGGTGTTATGGTAAAATTGCGCTTCGTGCGCCGTTCTTCAAGTTGAAGATTTTCTCACGGGACGGGTTGATTCCTGAATTTCCATCTTTCTCGCGCGCTCCTACTGTGCTACCGATGGGTATTTCTTTTGTTTTCTACCATTCAAAACTTCAGGCAAAGGTAGTAACCGCAAATCCCCGCTGTCATCACGTAACCACCTTCCGAACGCTCAAGCCACTGCTTCGGAGGGAGGGGGGAGTGTCGCGTCTCGCGATGCAAGGCGCTCCTCGAAGTACGGAGGCCGGGGGCATCGGTTACCGCGCTATCTGGCGACGATTACGGTAGCCGAGACGCGTGTTGCCGCCATCGTCTCCGGACCTCTCCTTAATTGGCTCGTTGCCAGCCAGGCGGCTATATAAAGCGGCGGCGCCTCATTTGGTTGCCTTGTTCACCTTCGTCTTATTGATTGGTTTTGAATATCTTGTTCAAATTACGTTTCAGCCGCCTTGCTCCTGTCCTTTTTTGTAAGAGCAGTTGAGCCGGATGTCTTTTGGATTAGAAAACGGATTCCCTTTTTGTTAGCGCAAGTCGACGCGCCTAGTACTATCCGAAAATCATCTACAGGAGCAGGAGGGGACGTGCCGTCGTCTACACCTTGGCGTTGCGCGGTGGATTTGTTGCGCGAAACCTCGAGAGCCTAATATATTTTTGAGATTATCTGTAGACGCGCATCGGTAGCATAGGACGGGCCCTCGTCCCGTGTTTTAGCAGTAGTAGTATTTGTTTTGTTTTCGTGTAGTATTCTTTTTATCTATTTTAACTGTAGTTTAGTGTTATTAGGATAAACCACTTAGTTAACCTTATGTTCTGTTTGGTCGCGCGTTAGTGCGCAGTAGGCTAGGTACGTCGTTTGTTATCGGGCGAGCATCAGGCCTCGGGCAACATCTAGGTGCCATGAGCCCACCGAGTCGCCACACCCCGCCTTCCCGCCAAGCCAATTGAGTTAAAGGTTATGTTGGCAGAGGCAAAAATTATTTTATAAACCCGGAATTCCATTAGAAAAAAGGACCAACACATATTTTCATTGCTTTCATTCGTCGAAGTTTTTTGGAGAAAACATCCAAACATCGTTACCTGAAGTTCTTCTATTTCTTGCATTAGATGCACAGGATCCTCGACGGCAGCACCTGGTGACTCTCCTTCTACGACATCTTTATGCGTGAAAGCCTGTACATTTAGATTGACAAAATCAATTTCTAGAGTCAACAATATTCAACCGCCACGAATCACGATATTCGAATTACTGTCTTGTCACCTACCTCGATTTCGCTGTCCAAACCACCCAATTGCGTATCATCCTTGTCTTCATTAACAGTTCTTATACCAAAAGCTCGTGCTCGAATGGCCGCAGTAACTTTACTTTTGAACTTTGGAAACTAAATAGTACAGTTAATCTTAGTTCTCGTTAAGAAAAAAAAGATAACTTACCATTTTGTTTTTATCCACGTGCAACGGCTTAAGTTCGCCTGAGTGTATTTTTATAATGGGAGTGGATAGTTTTTCCCCTTTTCTCTTATTCGATACCCCAAGTTTTCGAGTTTTCTTGAACTGTAATCACAAATTAAAAAAAACTTGTTTTAAATTCACAACTCAATAAAAGTCTTACCTTCTTGATTTTTCTCAATTTTTTGCCCACTTTCTTTCGCTTCATTGTCGCGTCTGAGGATATAGTGGCAATGGTTGGCCTTGTAATGTCTACTATCTTGAAGAAGAATATATAAAATAGTTACAGTAAACGGCACATTCTCACATGATAGAATAGTTATGAATGAGACACACCCTTTGATTCAACTAACTTACCCCTGGAGGTAGGGCTTTGTGGCTTAATTAAGGCTAGGCAGTGATTAGGAGCATGGGTGCGGGAGAGACGCAGACTGCGTCGTGGCGCGAGGGCCTTAGTTAGGTCACAAAGTCCCACCTTCCAGGCGTCAAGCCAGTTGAATCAAACTTTATAAAGTCGTTTCAAAAGTCCTTGACTTTTTTTAAACATACCATAAACATGTGAAACAAATTCAGGCAAACGTTTTGCAGCTTTTCTTCCTCTTTTAAATAGTTATTTTTGTGCTGGTTAATCTTGCGTTCACGTAATTACCGGGACAACTCATGGTTTTTACCATGTCAAACTTTGTAGCTTTTCAAATTCTTGAAAAAGCTTTTATAGCATTCAGATAGCGAAGACAAAATGCTGTGCAATACGATTTTTTGGCACTTATAGTTGGCTTCTCATTTCGAAAATTATAATGCTATCAAATTCCACTTTTGGTCATCCCAGAAGTTTTCTCCCCTTTTTAGTGGATGTTTTTTCTTTTCAATTGGTGGATTGGCGACAAAATGATAATTTTTGGTTTTGAACTCGCACTTAGCTGCACCCGTGAAATTCGAAATCTGATATTTCGAAGCGATAAACGCTCTTGATAAGACAGTGTGTAATTATAATCGTTTTGAAAGTCCCCAAATTCTAAGTTCTATTAATGTTCTGAGCGTTTGTGTATTCTGTACTTCGCAAAAATTAAGGCTTTCAAAAAAGTTATTCTGAACAATACCGGAAAGCCAGTTGGAAAGGCCAAAAAGTTGCATTGCATTGCACTTTGTGTAAGCCATCCAACTGCTATCGAAGCTACTCCGAGAGTTCAAAATGAGGATTTTGAAAGATTGCTAAAGTTGGATTACATGGTAAAAAAAAGGTTCGAAATTTCGGCGATCATCTCAGTGACCACAATAGTAACCAGCACAAGAACATGACTATTTAACACGTTTCGGACCGGTGCTGCACATGGTGCAGCACGCTGCTTTGAAGTATTTTTCTGGCGTTTGCAGGAGGTTTTCTTTTAGTCCAAAGTTGTTAAGTCAAAGGTCTAAGCTCCTACTTTTCAAATGACTCTGTAGAGTTGTGCCGCCGATATTTGTTTAGGAGATATGAGCACAAATCGAACAACAGTTGCAACGAAGTGCGGCGACGCGAACGACGCGTGCGACGTCACAACTTTCCTTTGCTTCCATATCAAAGAGAAAAACCGTAGTTTCAATACTGATGTGTAACATGTACAACATAGATACTTTTGGATACTATTAGAATCTGAGTTCTTGTTCCTGTCTTTCAAGAAAGCACAAAAGTCCCTCTCAAGCGATAAAATTCAAACACTTCGAATTCACTCAGAACTTTGGATATGGAACATATCTGATATGCTGATTACAAATGTGGCCCACATGCTGCGAAATAAGGTCCCTTTGCAAGCTAACGGGTAAAAGTACACTCTTTTTCGCCGCGCGCGATTTCGCGGTCCGAATCGTGTTAAAAGAGGGAGAAAAGCTGCGCTAGATATTGCTTAGATCTTCCCTAGCTCCACATTTTTTAGTAGATAAGCTGAAAAAAACGGGAAGAACTTTTGGAATAACATATTATAATATGATATAATGATGATAGTTGATTACGCACCTCAGATGGATCACGTTGCTCGACTGATGACTGCTTCAGAGCTCTATAATGTAACAAATTTTTACACATTGACAGTCTAAGATATGTAGAATGCATGAATTATTTAACTCCAACCGTACCATTTATGATCTCAAGATCCTTCACTAAAACATCATCTCTTCAAAGATTTTTACTCTTAATCACATAATCACTCTACCACAACTCTTTGAAAAACTTTAGTTGTCTAACTATTATTTCTTCCCTACTTCTCAACAAAACCTCAAGATAGTTGCTGTTTTATATGAGACTAGCTGGCAAACCCGCCTCGGCGCGGTCCTGTCAATAACATTTTTGTAATAATATGCTTACTTACTCTCCTTGCCATCTTCCAGCCTCGCAAGTGAAATTGCAAAAAAATAAAATTGATATCGATCGCTGAGGTTGTTTCATACTGCAGTCGCTGCAGCTACTGCAGTCATATGGAGACGGGCAAAAGATATCGATCGATTGACTGCCGTTGCTGCAGCGACTGCAGTATGGAACAACCCTGAGGAAAGGTGCCTGCGACACTCATCCGGCCCTAAAGTTTATGTGTGCTAAGTTTGATCCGGATCGGTTCAGAAATGAAAAGTTTATTCGAAACTAGATGGCATCCCCGGTCCTGCCCGGGAAGCGGGCTCTAATGCCCGGTGGAAGGCATTATGATCCAAAAGCATCAAGACTCACCTTCCTCAGGCCCCGGACAGACTTCACGCGATTTGATCGTCGCGACTCAATCGCCGACATTTCCATTCATTTTTCACATTCAAAAATTTCGGGCTGGAAAAGTATCACAACCGAAATGCAAATTGATCGGCATGGAATGATGTTGTAACAGTTGTCTCGTCGCGATTCAGTCGCGACGATCAAATCGCGTGGAGTCTGTCTGGGGCCTTATCCATATCTGAAGAAGCGCTTCCGCGACATATCCCGCTGACTCGAAGAACCGGATACTCCCCGTCGCAAGTTGTAAATGATCTATACCGCCCCGCTTACCCAACTATGATCCAGGAATGATAGATAAGTTTATTCCCTTACATGTGAGTAAACATATCAATAAATCGATAGAAGGACCCAGTGAATTGTCGCAAAAAGTAGCCTATTTTCTGCGCCTGGTCTCCTTTATAGGGAAGCAAATTTCAACCTCATCGGTTCACAAACAAAGGATTCTATAAGCCACATACATACGAACAAATTTACAGAAATTGAGTTTTATTTATATATAGAATAGATGTACGTACGTAAGAAAAATCTGTGTTTGGTCAAGCCATAATCTGAACCTGTTGATCTTGAATGGATGCCTTTTTATATATTTCATTGGCAAACGGTTCAATTGCCCAATTTTCACGTGGTGGTATTGTGAGGCGGTCTCCACCGCCACATTTTCTTCAACTTAATGCTCGCTGGCTACTTTGAACTTCCTCAAAGTGACGATCGCGTGGTGCGGAGGAGAAATTGGGCCTTTGACGACAATTGATCGAGCCGTAGTGTTCAACCAGATCCGAAGATTCACAAGCAGATGAGGTAAGATTGTGAAGAATGAATCTTTGGAATGAGTTTTGAGTTTGGAAGCTTTTACGATTGTGCGCTTATCCTGTTTGCCCCCCAATCATAACTAATAAGATAATGGATTCCAGATTCGCTGATGAAAGCATCGCCAGCCACTTTTACCATATCTTCAATTCCTGGCTCATTACAAAATCTTGATTCTTTTCCCACCCCGGAGCTAGAAAGTTATCATATAAACAAACTTTCCAAATCAAGCTTTTGAATCTTCAAAGAGGTATTATTATCAAAACTCAACCTCAGCCCTTTATTCACTCATTCATCCATTTTTTCAATAAAAAGAAAAGTATAACTACTCACGCTAGGAAAGCCTCATCCCCTTGTTCGGCAATCTTTGTTATGTTCTGCAGCATCCAATCGAGTGCGTGCAATGTATCGGGCGACATATCCTTGGAGCACAATTCTGTTTGCATTGGACAGAGCATGGCGGTATCAGGCTTACCTCATCAAACACAGTAGGCCTTCTGCTTGTAGACCTTGTGGTCACAGGGACAGTGGTGACTTTAGCAAGCATTGGAATAGTCTTAGTTGTTACATCACCTTCATGTATGCTTTTCTTCGACGTAAATTGAGTTTTGCGAACAGCAAATCCCGTGAATCCGAAACCTAAAAATTCGAATGAATTTTGCAGCAAATGGCGAACATTCGAAGAAAAAAGGTATGCTCATTCTACCCTTTGATTCAACTGGCTTGGCTGCTGGAAGGCGGGGCTTCGTGACCTAATCAAGGCCAAGTAATGATCAGAGAGCACGCGCGCGGGAGAGACGCAGACTGCATCGCGTGCGCGAGCGGCCTTAATTAGGCCTTCCAGCCGCCAACCCAGTTGAATTAAAGGTTAGAAAGGATTATGTTTCATGTAATTGGCGTCATTACAAATCTTCAATTCGAAAAGACTATCATTGATGTACCCACTTTTCGTTTTCTTTGTCTTGATGCTAGTTTGCGGTATAGCCTTGCTCACTCCGGAGGTGCTCTTGTGCACTTTGTGAGTGACCGGTTTAACAGGTTCCATAAGGGTCCTTTCATCACTGTAATGTCAAGCTGATTTATAGCGCTCAACCAATTTGTCAAAAAACAATTGATAAATGAACGACTGTTGATTGCATTAGATCTTACATGCTTACATTAGATCTTTTTGTGCATCGGTAAGTTCCAGAGTGTCCAAAGTCGTAGGCAATTCGATGGTTACTGTAGCTGTAGGCAGTGGTGTAGTCAATTTGAAGTTTGTTGATCGCTTAGTTGTTATTCGCTCTGTCGTCGTTGATGTTGGTAATTCTGCAGGAAGTGGTGGTTCAGTTGGAACAGGCACGACAACTTCCGGAACAGCATCCTCGTCGATATCATTTGAGTTCAACTAAAAAAGCTTCTTCAAGGGCTAATGGTAATAATATACTAGGTAATAATGTTTATAATTACCCTAATTTCACGCGTATAGGACGCGGGGTTTTTTTTTTTTTGTAAAATCAAACAGCACAACACGTCGAAGGATTGCGACCAAAAAACTATAATATTTACAGCGCTGCATATTGCCTGAGAGTATCATGCGGCATATGTCTCGTTTTCCGGAATACAACGAGGCGGCTGAGCAGCACGCTTGAGAAAGCGAAAAAGTGCGTCTTAAATGCGTGGGATATAATATAGTAACTTGAAAACTTCGTTTTGTTCCTATCCTTAGACGGAGTGTTATGTTGTTTCTATGCCATACCCGGAACTCTTCAGTAAGGAAGGATGGCGGTAGTTAATAACTCATTTTTCTGTGTAAAATTGATATTAGGATTTGTATTTTAAACATTTAGTTTCAAACATTTGTTCTTTGACAACTTTGGTTCTAACTAGGTCAATCCCAAATGCTTAATGAAAAAGAGTTGATGAGTTGCCTAGGATGTGCCTTTCGCAACACTCTGCTTAGGGATTTGAAATTGTAACTTCAACTATTGCTTAGGCACACGCCATGCTTATTCACTTCACTCTTAACCACTTCGATGTCAAAACATTCATGCCGTTTTTTTTTTCAGAGTGAATGAATTGATGGATTGCGTAATTACTGGGTGTGCCTTACCTGGGGCTGTACGACTCTTGGAAGAGTGCCAAATTGTTCGAAATGATCCTCGTCTGTAAAAACAGTCTCTTCTGGTTCCTCCATCGTAGTGGTAGATATGGGTGCTTCTAAAATAGTCATAAATTAGTGACTCTTATATTTTTCACAACGCTAGTTTCTTTGTGAAATTAGTCGAAACTTTGTACCTAGCATCCAAACGAACCTGTATTAGTATTAGATGTAGTAATAGTCGAGGTGGCTTTGGCCTGCTCATCCGTCACCACCGTCATCGTTTCATGGCCTTCAACTCCTTCTTCCAAAAGATCCTCTTCACGCACTTCTTTTATGGTTGTGCCTTCAGACTAAAAACAAACTTACATAGAGTCAAGGAACACATAAACATAACATGAATTCAACAAGCTTTTACTTTCGTCCATAACTCTCCTACTATAGGACCTTGTTCTTTGAGAGAATTTTTTTCTTCAACTATAGCCTTCCTTGCTCCTTGTGAATTGAACCTCTTCTTGGAAAAATCGCTGGAACCACGCTGTAAGTATATTTTGCATGGTTTTCGTCTGACTTCGCTACTGATGTAAATTACTGCCATTATCTTTACATTCAAAAGTAAAACTGCTTTGTAAATTTCCATGCTTTCAACTGTTTCTTTTCGAACTACATAATTTTGAAATTCTGCCCCTTCCATAATGAATTGGCTTCTTTTGGGTAGCAACAAGAATGCATCAACACGGAGTTTTCAGATTTTTGGCTTGCTTTCCAGCTATTGCTGGTTCCGATGTTGGGTTGTCGCAAAAGTTTTGTCCCTTTTTTTTTCATCGCTCACTAGAACTTACAGGGCACCAACCCATAGACGACGTAGAACCTTTTGATTCAGATTTTTCGACCCTCTTTCTTATAACTATATTTGCTTTCTGATCTACCCTGTCTTTGCAATATTATCGCCTTACTTTTGAGCAGCTCAACAGTAACGCCAAATCTTTTCTCAATTTTAAAAATTTTGTCTTGATATTTCTGGAGGATGAACAGTTGCAATTATTTTGTTATGCCGTACAGATGTTTAATGGTGACACAATTTTATTGCCTGACGTTTCGGCAGGTGTACGGGTCAACGACATTTAGCCAGCAAAAATGGCAAAGCATGATAAGTCCACTAGGAAAGCATAGAATGGAAGAACATGACGGTGCTGATTAAGAAGTCAGGTGCGAAATTTTAGCCTACGTGTTCGTTAGTTGTGTCAATGGTCCAACCGATCGCAAAGCAAGGTTCTTCAATAAAATCATCAGCCAACTCCTGGATAGAACACTCGTCCATTTGAGCAATAATAATCATTTCCTTGAGCGATTGCGCAAAATAAATTTCACCAAGAACACTGCGCATTTGAGTCGTTTGATATCACGTTATAGTATTAGGTTGGTTCATAATTAATGCACAATTTTCTTACCTCTTCTTTAAAACGGTAGCTTTCAATCAGAAATCGTTTTTCTATAAAACTTTCTGAACTACCGGAAAGCTCCTTTCTTCTAGTTTATGACGTTCGTTTCGTTTTCGGAGATCTTTGTTCAAACCAAATTCCGTAACTTCAAATGTGAGGTACTCAAATTTAAAAATTTTTCCTTCCATTCGGCTTGCCCTTAATCCATGAAAAATGCTCAAATGTTTCAAAAAGTATGTGTTATAATCGCGAAGATTTGTGCTACAAAGCTCTCATCAAGGCTAAATTTTTTGAAATTCTGAGCCGAGAAGCTTTGATTCAAAGTTAGCTGATTGCTGGGATTACTCCGAGCTCTATAAAATGCATAAATGAGAAGCAATCGCAGAACTTTCGCTCTGTGGTAGAGTAAACCAAGGACTACTAAATGTTAGGAAAACGGCAGAATCCCCTCGTTTTTCAAATGAGGAAAAGTCGCAGGAATCCAAAAGATGCAATTTTGCCTTCTATAATATTCAGGAAAAAATGGTTCTTCTGCTTTCTTGGCGAAATTTTCTATGCAAAAAATTTTTGGTAGGATCCAAGTTCTACACTAATATTGAATTGATCATCGGCTGCACACTGAGCCAACCTTGCTTTATTCCAGTCCTTTTAAGAGTAAGTTATGCTCTTTCAAACTAGCTTTCAGAAAAAAATCTCGGCAATTCTTGAGCCGGAATATCTTTCCCATGATGTGTACGATCACATGAAAGTATGCGTTGTATAGCTAAAGGTTTCTGGTTTATAATAGTTTTTTACGCGCTTAAAAAGATTATTTTGTAAAAGAATTATCTTGATTAGAAGTGAAGGTTGAGAAAACATACATTAATTATGAACCAACCTAGTATTATATATTAGGTCGTCCCGAAAGTTCGTTCGCGCCATTTTCAAAAATTCATAACTTTTGATTTTTCCAACCGATTTGACCCTTTGATTTTGGTTGAACGAATAAGTCATGCTCTTTATGATGACATCTTAGAAGCTTACTAGTGATTATCTTTTGCATAGATGGGAGCGATACAAGGGAATTAGTCGAAATTCGAATTTTCTGTGTAGGGTCATAAATAATCGGAAACTTGCAACAAAAATCCAATCAGTATTATAGTTTCTGTTACCTGCTCTTTCTAAATGTGCAAAGCTTGCGCTGTTTGAGCGTCTTTATAAAAAGTTATGATTTTCGAGCAAGCAATACAAAAGGGCGAATTTGATCTATTTTGGCATTTTTCAGGAAAATCGTAACTTTTCGTAGAAACGCTCAATCGGTGCAAACAACAGATGATCACTAGTAAGCAGCTAGGATGTCATTATAAAAAGTATGACTTACTCCTTCATGCAAAAATAAAAGCAGTCAAATCGGTTAGAAAATCAGAAGCCCTGAATTTTTGAAACTGGCGCGAACGAACTTTCGGGAAGACCTAATACAAATGTATACAATGAAAAAGCTCCACAAGCGTTATCTGGGTTGCTAAAGTCGCATAGTCGAACTATGCTGATGTAGAGCCTTAGTAAAACGCGCATCATGACACTCATTAAGGAATGTTTTTTCTAAAATATCTTTTGAATGGTCGGAGAAGTATTTCGCACATAAGAAGTTTAACCATGAGCCAACGTTTAGCACCCGTGCTTGCCATATGTTTTATGAGCAAAATAGAAGAACCGGTGTTATCCAGAGGTCCACTTATGTATTGCCGTTACATTGACGACTGTTGCGTAATTACAACAACACAGTCCGAGATGGACGAGTGCTTTGGATTAATATTATAAATCAACAGTCGCAATACATAAGTTTCACGAGAGTAACCTCACAACGGTTGGCTACCGTTTTTGAATATACAATTGATGGTAATGAATGGCAGGCTGCGCATTGAATGGTACTGTAAAGAGCGCAACAAGAATATCATCTTGCATGCGAAATCCGCGCACCCAACGGTTGTCAAGCGCGCCGTTGTCCGCAATATGTACAAAACAGCGACAAGCATATCTAACGGGAGAAGTGAAAGGCTAGAATACTGAAAATGGCAGCCAAAATGATGACCTTGAATGGAGATATGTGAGACCCAGACAATCGAAAAGGACTACGGTAAAGAAAGCAAACAAGTCATCAGTAAGATACCCTTGTGCATGTCTTTCATATCCGAAAGGGTGACTGCTGCGATTAAACAATGTCTGATACAAGCACAGCTTGATGAATGTTGTTTTAGTGAACATACCACGAGACAGCATTAAAAGACCATTGGTCCGCAACAGGTTGCATGATAAAGCCTGTATCTTACGTGATTAGTACTCTGCCCGAAAAACTTGAAGATTGTGCAAAATCTGGCGTCATTTATGAGACTGAATGCATAAGTGCTCTGCCATCTGTATAGGTGAGACCGGCCGACCATTAGGTGTACGGGTCAATAAGCACAAGAACAAGGAACATTTAGCTAGGAAAAAGAGGCGAAGCATGATAAGTCCACTAGGAAACTCGTACTCAAGCAGCACTGTGTCATCTCGGTTGCTCATTTGTCGCATTCAGTCACCACAGTCGATTCATCTCGAGCGGCTACGAGCTAACGGTAATAAGCTTGGTAGTTTAGCACCTCCCAAACTCTCTATTTTTGTCTGAGACGAATCGTGTGGCAAATGGGAGGAGATATTGCGACTGAGAACGTATATTATTGTGACTAACACCTTTTCAGCCTCTGAAGATGGCGCCCTGTCGAAATGTCAGACAATGGAATTGTATTACCATTAACAACCCGTATGGCATAGCAAAATAATTACAACTGTTCATCCTCAAGAAAAACACGCCCAGATTCAACAATGAGAGGACCTTTAAGATATCATGATATTTTCAAAGAGTGGTGGTAACTATTATGTAGAGCAAAACTTTGGCCACATTGTAGGTATTTTAGATTACATTGGCCACATTTTTCAAGTTCGTGATAATTGTTTGATAGAAAAAACCCTCTTTTGAGCTTTTTGATTAGGTTTACCATGCAAAATTAAAGAAAATTCCAAAAAGCTGTTTTTTAAAGCAAATCGAACCTTGGTTATGTTGCCTAACTAATGTTTAATAACAATCAAGATTCATTTCGCAGAAACTTCAAAAACTTTCGTGTTTTTGCTGCAGTAGCGTATTTCATGACTTTGCCAAAAATGAAGACCTTCGAAGAAATAATTTTTGAAGCTAAACAGCAGATTAGGAGAATGCAAAAATAGTACCGTATAGTCCGACAGTTGCTTTATTCGAGCCATACTTAACAATCCCGAACCTTTGGAATAAAATTTTTAGAATAGCCAAACTTCGAGCAATTAAGAATGACGGGTGAAGAATTGTGGTAATTATCAAAAAAGCATGCAGGATGTTGTAACGCTAAGAAAGAGAAGAAAAAGCGACATCGAATGCATTATGAAATTCATTCAGGTCTTCATTGTGTGGTTTTACAGTGGTTTGAAAAAAGGACAAAACTTTCGGGACAACCCAACATTTTGGTCCACAATTTATGCGCGCAGATCCTTACGACTTCATAGGGAAGTCCCGAACTTTTGGCTGATAGCCTCGCTGCAGCTACCATTTTGAGAAAGCATCACTGTTAAATCCCTCGGGCTAGTAATAAAGGGTGTAGTTTGTCCAGGTGCTTCGCAATCTATCCAAAATAGTATCTCTTCCGAACTGCTACAAATATATGCTGCTTTATATCTTTTATTTTTTCCTTTATCTTTTTTTATCTTTAACTTTTTTGAATCTAGAAATTATGTTCGTGACATGACATTTGCCCTCATGTGAAGAATTTATGTCACCTAAACGTGAGCCAGTGAATTGACAGAGCAAGCTTCTGCAAAATTGCTGTACTAATTTTGCACCAAGCTATATTCTCGCCAAGTTCGAAGATGGAATCTAACAAGGGAAGTCACTTAACTTAGGTCGGGCTTTTGAAATGAGACACATATATTTAGAACCAACTCGGAACGCTGATTCCAAATATGTTATCCTTAGCTGCGAAGCTTTCTTCTGAAGCGAATGAGCTTTTTTAGTATGTGTCATTGACATAACTGAATATGGAAAGAAGGTCTTTGGATGAAAATCTGCCCAAAAAGTGGTAGAAAATCAAAATAACATCAAATTGAGTCATTTGGCTTTGATAGGGTATAATATGCATTTGAACCACTACCTAGATGATGATACCGTAGCATGCCTAAGTCGGTCAACACGCAAAATTTGCTCAGGAAAAAGCTCATAACTCGTTTCAGAGGAACGCTTCGCAGTTAGGGAAAGCAGATTTGAAATCAGCGTTTCAAGCTGATTCCAACCATATGTGTCTCATTTCAAAAGCCCAACCTAAATTAAGTGACTTCCCTTGTAAGAAGTTTCCCTAAACTAAAAACAAAAAAATTCGTATGCAGGAAGTTTATACGAACCCCCGACTCGACACGACATACATCCCTCATCAAACTGTTATATGCGCAGTTGTTGTATTTTTCGTTGGCTATTCATCAAAAAATTGAAAATTTTCATGCTTCTGCCAAAGTGACTTTAAGCTGTTCCCACCTAAGTGAATTCAAAGTACTTGACTTGAGAAGTGCAACCGTAGAATTTCAGCCTTCACAAGTGTTAGTTTTTGAGAAATATCGAATCTGGCTTGCTTTTTGATTTCAAACTGATATCTCTCAAAAACTAACTCTTGTAGAAGGCTGAAAATTTAGGGTTGTATTTCCCAAAGTAATAAAGGAAAGTACCTTGGTTCAGCCTTTTGGCAAGGGGCATGTATATTCTGTATCAGCTTAGAACACTGATTCCAAATATGCTATTCTTAGATGGCGCACCATTCCGAAGCGAGTTATAGGCTTCTTACTGCGCGGAATTGGCAAACTACTAAGCAAGGAAGACTGTCAAAAGGTATGGAGGTGAAAATTTGCAAGAAAAAAATGTTAAGATATCGAAATAGCATCAATTCCAATCTTTTCTCACTGAAAAGAAGCTTGACGCAAGTGTATTAGGACTTGCAAGCTGGTGGTGCCGTGACGCCAGTAGGTCGATGAGTGTGCATTTACACAGAAAAGGGTCTCCAGATTGATGCGCCGCAGCTACAATTTTGAAGTCGATTCAGAACATATAACTCTATCCAAAAGGTGGACAAAGTTAGGTACCTTCCCCTGTAAGTCGTATGGAATGTGAACAGCCCAGAATCATTTCAGCAGAAGCACGAAAATATTCAACTTTTTGTCTAACCAAAAAATCACAGCGACTGCGCATAGAAATGTTTGATGAGAGATTACATCCGTGAAAAGTTTGGGTCCGTAGAAAGTTTTGGACTTACAATTAAATACGATTTTTTTGGTTCTTCGTTCATTCGAAACTTCTCAAACTCCATTTTCGAACTTGACGTGGATATGACTTGGTGCAAAAGCAGTAGTAAAATCCTGCAGGGCTTGGTTTGCACTACCGAGTGCTATCTTACATAACTTTAAGCTTTGCGTGATTGCAATGCCATAACGGGGAGATAAAGAGCGAAATTTTTTTCTTTTCTAGATTAATAGATTGATCTATAAGAACTTTACACCTGCTTTTGAAACACAGATGAACATGATGCAACTGGATGCCGTTTTACTTTAATATTAGTAAACTCCTCTCTACGTAATGTCAGTTTCAGTCAACACTAATTGTCAGTACCTATATAATATTTGAATAAGCATTTTTTATGACCGGCTTGAAATAGTACAAAAAATCAACGAATTTGGTTGAAACTTTGCACAGATAAACTTCGGGTTGGGCGGGTATCACTAATCTTTTTCACCAAAAATCACCGAATGGCGCTTTTGTTTCATTGATTTTGGCGCTTTTTGCTTGGTATTTTTGTTATGATCGGCCTAAAATGTAAGAAAAAATAATGGAATCTGGGAGGAATTTTGCACAGAGTTCATCAATACAAAAAGCGGTGAGAACATTGACTTTCATGGGCAGCATGCTAGTCTGTAAGAAGAATTCATCAAAAGTGTTGTGAGAGAATGTGCGTGAAGCTCATCGGTGGACAGGGATAATCTTGATTGTTTTAGTCTAAAATGCTACAAATTGCTTTAGGTACCGATTAAACCTTTGATTCAATCAGCTTAGCTTCTGGAAGGCGGGACTTTGTGACTTAGTTAAGGCCGCTCGATTCTGCGTCTCTCTAGTGCAAGTGCTCTCTAACCATCACCTAGCCTTGATTAGATCACGAAGCCCCGCCTTCCAGCCGCCAAGCCAGTTTAATCAAAGCGTGTGTCCTTTTTGATACGAAGCGTTTGTAACAGTTTCCAGTACTTGTTAACGGCAATCCTTCGCTCACGCTTTAGATAAGAGTTGTCCAGTCAGCTTTTCTCCAATAAGGCTGTTGTTAAACTCGTCGTCTCGCTCACTATTAGATTGTGCACTGATACGCATTATCATTGCGTCCGGCTATTGTAAAACTTGCTTGATTTCAGTGGAACGATTATGATGTTAGTCGTATAATACATAGCAGCAGCTTTCAATACTCGTATCAGTTTGAATAAGGGGCAACAACTTAGTTCGATGTTAATATGCAACGTTAAATTTGGCACCCGATTGTGTGAGAAACAGAACAACACTAATCGGCGTCAGAATCAATGTATACGGCATGACAGGCGTTCAAAATTCAATACTGGGTATTGGGTGGATGCAGGATATTTTAAGTTACAAAAAAAGCTTGAAGGCAGCGGCTCGGCAAAATGATAACTTTGGGATATTTATCGTTCTCCGTTCTTTTGGATGAGCTAAGTCCAAGGCTGTGCTTTGCAGCTTCAAAAGGTATCAATAATCCGCTTCAGATGTGAAAAGTGCTATTTGGATGGACGGCATATGCTTGCCCTCTAGACCGTGATTGGCTCGTAAGTGGAGATACCGTACCTATCTCGGTGGCAATTGGATTATTGGCTCCAGCAGGCACTTTCGCGACCCTCCCAAACAGCACTTTTCAAGTCTGGAAAAGTGGGTTATTAACATCTTTTGAAGACAGAGCATAGTCTTGGATTGAAGCTTATCCAAGGGAACCGAGAACGATGATCATCTCAAAGTTGTCAATCTGCCAAGCCGCTGCCTTGTGCTCGATAACATCGAATCTATGAAACGTTCATCAGACTCTGACCTGATCAAAAGCATTTAATCGCAATGCCTTCATTTCTGCGCTGGTTATCGATGTCATAAGCAAACCAAATCAGTTAAAGCAAAAATGCCTTGTGTTATAGGATATTAGCGGAATGGTTTGTACATGTTGAGTTGAAATGAGGTAACGATGCTAGAGCGAGGTTCTTAGCCAAAAGTAAGAAAGACTTCCCAGTGATGAGTACAGTTAATTGCTCTTAAGATTATCAACCGCCACCCAAATTCTGGACGAGCTTAGTCAAAATATTTAGCAATACGGAATCTTACCGTCTTCTTTACTGGTTCCACTAATTCAGATGGATCCCATACTCTCACATCAGGTTGTCTGTCTACTTTGCCATTACTTCGTCCTTCTTCTCTTATATGCAAAGAGTTTATACTAAAAGTACGCTCTAAGACAAACAAAGGTATTCAGGATTGGCTTACGCTGCTTCAACTTCTTCTCGATGCAACCGCAGCTGCTCTTCTTCCTCCTAAACACGAACACATATGGAACTGCATGATAATTGTCATTTTTGTAGAGACTGTTCTGTCGCTCTTTTCATTTTTTTAAATCAAGTATGCATAGAAAGCCAAACCGCATCGTGGAAACCGTTACATGTAGATTTGTGCAGTGAGTAGAAAAGATTTGGTTTTTGGAAAGGTATCGCCAGCAGATTCTTGATATATCACAGATTTTTATTGTGCAAGAGTTTCCCATTTTAAAAAATACAAGGCTGTATTTTGCAAACTTGCCTCTTGTAGCAATTGTTGGACGTCTTTGTCAACCGGAACCGTTTGCACTGCGAACTGACGCGTTGTTTTACCGCGTGGTCCAAAGTGTTTTTCTAAAACATACTACTATTTTATAGAACTACTGATATTTCCATGGTAATACTGTCTTCTTAGAGCTTTAGCTCAAATGATGGTGGCTGGAAAGAAAATGAAGGAGGAATTTTATAGTATATGTGCTTTAAGGTAGTGTCTCTGCGATGGTAGGAAGTCTAATCTATGATCTGCTGGTAGTTCCCCGTAGTTTCAGTCAAGTGCGAAAACAAGATATCACTGAGAATCGAAAAAAATTGGTCGAAGAAGGCCGGCTCATGATAGTCCTGCTCACCGACGAGCCACGAATTCGTAATGATTGCTTGGAAACGGTACACCTCTGCAATCTCCACAACGAATGCCTGCGACTCATAACTGGCATTTGGGTAAAACTGGTTCTCTTTCTCAGGGGGAAAGTAAAGGGGTTTCGTCCCTGCTTTAGGTCAGAAAATGCCTTTCCTGACAATCATATCAGTTGAACAAGACAAAATTCATCGTTTGCTCGCTTGCGTAGAGTAGGGGAGCACTGCTGACGTACACGCGTGTGCCGACATTGTCGGCCTCCTTACAACCGTGTACCTTAACTCTCACCCAAGTACCGTAGAGGTCATGCCGTAAGCATGGCTTGCTGTGATATCTGTTACCAGTTCAAAGCGCCGCTTCGCGGCGCTTTGAACTGGCTGTGCGTGTGGAGCGAGAAGTGTTCAAAGGCTAGAACTTGTGAATTTTTGTCTTCAAATCTTTTCGTAGCCAAAAGTATAGCATAAAAACTTTAGGTATATACGTGTAGAGAGTAGTAGTAAGTTACTTTCTAGCTCTCTAGCTCTTTGAATAGCTCCATGCCACATGCTACCTTAGCTTCACTACAATCTTCTTAACTCGGATTAGGTGCCACTAAATGCTTGAATCCACTCCAGGGCTTTTATGTCCATGTCATAGTACCTTCCTCTCCCTCTGTTCCCCACCCCTACCCTCGTCCCATCCCCCCCCCCCCCCCTCCCCGGCCCCTCCTAGCCCCCCGCACCCTACTGGTACAGAATACAAACCCCATGTAGCATAACGCCTTTCAGGCACGCAAAAATGTTTATGTAGAAAGCACTGAAGAGTGGTAAGTTAGCCCCTAGCTCTTTAGCTCATAAGAAACTCCAACGGTCCTTAACAGACTTGGACTCAAATAGCTGCACGCCACATGCTGCGTTAGCTTCATCAAAATCCTCTTAATGCTAGAACTTTTCCGGAAGCGTGCCACTAACTTGCTTGACTCCACTCCAGGCTTTTTCTGTTCATGCCAAGTACATTTTTCTCTCCTCCCTCCCCCTCCCCCTTCCTCCCCTCTCCCCAGCTCCCCGCACCCTACCGGTACAGAACAACGTAAATATCACTTTCATGTGTGCAATTTTCCTGCGTTTGAAGTTTTGAGCGGATTTTGCTTTTCTCTTTCCCTGCCCCCAGCCTCTTTCCCATTAGTTTCCTACCTACGGAGAATAGAGGGGGAAGATTACGAACGAAATAATTACACAGTTTCCAATAGAGTTTTCTAGAAGAAAAACTTATTATCTTCTAAAACTTTTTCTAAGTAGAAACTCTTTGAATATTTCTGCAATTATTGTCCTACTTTTCGGGTTCTCCTTCTGCTGACGCTGCCATCACAATGCGTAACCTCAAAGTTGCTTATCGAAAATATGCCTACGCTTTTTGCCAAAATTCAGCTTTTTATACAGTACCACACAGAATTTGCTGGCTAAGGTGCAGGCTACTCTACTCTACCAAAAGCTCCACCTGCGGTAATTTCTCATGAGGAGAGACCGCATTTCCCTCTTCTTCCCTCTCAAATCGCACCTACTGCTCAAACATCCTTTACCAAGTTTTCGAATAAACTTCGACTTCTACTATTGGGAACGCTTAACCTCAAAGTCAATAAGTAAAATTCCATCCTACCCCGCCTCCTTTCCTCAGACTCTTTATGTAAGCGCTTACGACTTAACTTCCATTCACGAAACTTCATTTGCCATATTTCAATTTTCCCCCATTTTCCCTCCTTGAAAGCCTTTCTAGCCTGTCACACTCCCTTTAGTTACAATGCGGCCAGAATCCCACTATTTTGCTCACAATATGAAATGTTAAACAAATACTAAAAATACGGCTGTTGGTGTATCAAAATCGAGAACTTTCATGAGGGAAAATCACATCTGGGATTTCTGCTGCACCACTTACAACTTTGTAAAGCAGTGCTTTTGTACAATTAAGTTATAGAAATTGGCATCTAAAATAAACTGATACCAAAGTCGACATATCCTAATGCGCTAACTGAAATGAAGCGAGCTGTTACTTGGTGACAATAATGCTAATCGATAATACTGTTTATGGAGTTGAGCATGAAAGGGCGTTCCAGTCAACATCGCGGAAGGCAGACATCCTGGGTGCATTGGGTGCATTCGAGACATAGCGACAAACGCATGAGTCACATGGTCCCCCCTGCGCTTTATTATAGAGTATGATGTTACTGTACCACGCCTATTATGGTCAACATTCTACCACTGCACCTATGAGCGCACGTCATCTGGCTCATTAAACCTACTATGGCTTATGTGTTCTGTATAACACACTACAACAGACGCTATTTCGCCTCAGGCTACAGTAAAGCCTAGAGCCACCGATACATTTTGGTACATCGGCCAAATACGTAGGCCGACTCAATATTTTGCTTCAAAAGCAGCACAAAGGTCAGCGCATACGAAGCTGTTTCCCAGCCTTCACAAACAAATTAGAAGGCAAACCAAGAACCTCACGAAAGACCGCAAGAGTACGTCCATAGCGGTGAGAAGACAATACTTTCAGATGACGACGGTCTACAATCTGCGCCAATTTGCGCGAATTATCAGGGAAGTCGATGTCGCCGCACCGTCGCTACAAATGAGGACTGATGTGCCAGAAAAACTTTACCAAAGCGAGGAATCCATCGCCGTAAGGAAAGTGATGACAGTTGAAATGAAGAAGCTCGATAAAGAGATAAGATTTTATAAAACCAATGATGATACTCAGATGTTTGTCTACGATGTGTAACTCCGCATGACAGAATTTGAAGCAGAGTTGGAAAGCATAGAACATAAGAAAAAATCCGCCTCGATAAGGCATGAAGATAGCAATGAGCATTCCCTGAAGATCAGTCCAACAAAGATTCAGCCGGAACCATTGACCGTATCTCAACTAGCCCAAACATGAACGAAGTAATCCCGACAGCCGATAATGAGGACGAAAATGAAGAGCGCAGAGAACATTTCAACGAATGGAGAATCTCAGCTTGTAGAAATAAGGATAATGATGACGAAGTCAGTGAGATGATAATATCCACTGCAGGTCTAAATATAGAGAAAATATTGATGACAACGAATTAGCTGCTCTAATTGCGACCCCGACCCATGGCACAGGTCACGACATCTGCATGGCCACAGGGAAGCACATGCAGTGATTCCAATGAAAAATGTCTTCGGAGGTTTCAAATTGTCAGAAGCATGAGCAAATACAGGATCCTCACATCCTACCCTTCGCATGCTTGCTGTAGTTTACTGGAACCGCTCTTCCAAAGAAATGCGATGGCAACCTTAATTATTTACAGCCATCTCCTTCTCCTTACCATTGCAGATACAACAACTATCATGCTGAGAGCTTTGTCTTTATCTATGCGCCACTACGACGACCAGTGCAATATCCCGACGAGAAAGTTATTGCCTGATGTATCATCATTTTATCCTCTTTCGTCATCTCGTTGTGATCATCTCTCTCGCTGGCCGGAGTTGCCGACATTGTCGGCACCTCCTTACAACAGTGTATCTTAACTCTCATCCAAGTACCGTAGAGGTCATGCCGTAAGCATGGCTTGCTGTGATATCTGTTATGTTACTGTACCACGCCTATTATGGTCAGCATTCTACCATGCACCTATGAGTGCCACTATCTGACTCAATAAACCTATCATAGCTAATGTGTTCTGTATAACACACTACAACAGGCGCTATTTCGCCTCAGGCTACAGTAAAGCCTAAAGCCACAGATACAACGCGTGACGGTTTTTGATAGCGAAAAAGTACAAAAAAGCAATGCTCAGGAATGGAGGTATATCGATAGATCAAAGGTAAAGCCTTGCAAACGCATTAAAAAAATCATTAAAAGAAATCGATCTATCTCATTTAGAACTTAATTTGCCTGATATTTAATAGCAATGACAAAATCGTGCTATTTTTTGTCAAGGCAAAGATCATTAAAAGAGGGCTAGCTCTACAAAGTGGGCCTTACGCAATGTCAGAAGCCAAAATTTGAGAAGCTTCACATGCAGTTGGAACTTTGTCCAAGTATCTCACGAGACTGCAACGAGTAGAGGACATCAATTCCCGATTGACTCCACCCATGCAGACACTCAACACGAGTTGTGATGGAGAGAATTGCGCATTTGTTAGCAGATGTCTGCGCAGGATCTCTCCTTTTTGCGACCCGACATCCTCCATCCAAATGACTCTAACTTTCACGCATGTACTCTCCATATCAAACATTCATTCAAACACATGCTGTTTCATTTCCATGGCCAATGATGGAAGTAAAATCAGCAAGCTTTGGTTAAAACAATCCTGTGCTGGATATTCGATGTACGGATCATACAATACCGCTCACATTTTTTGAAAAAAAAAGACGCGAATGTCGCATCATGTATGAACATTACCGTCGCGTAGCCACATCTCGCTTCAGAGTGGACGAATTCTGCATCTAAAGCATTCGACTCAACTCGGCGCGGCGCATCCTCTGATGTATGGAAGTGTCTACTTAGACAAAAAAGGACGTCATATTTCATGAATCATTCCAGATTGCTTGGTAGGGTGAGTGCAATGAATAAGCACACTGGGTAATCTACCGTAACCAAGAATCTGAAACGATTCGTGGAATCTGACCTCCTACTGTATCCAAGTGGACGCTTCTATACATCAGAAGATGCGCCGCGCTGAGCTGAGTCGAATGATGGCTTTAGAAGCAGAATTCGTCCACTCTGAAGCGAGATATGGCCACGTGACGGTGATGTTCGTACATGATGCGACATTCGCATCTTTTTTTCAAAAAATGTGAGCGGTGTTGTAGCTTGGAATAGCCGACTTCGCTCGGTTTTTGTCAACATGACATGCAGTGGCGTACCCATTGTTTCCGCGGGGGGGGGGGGGGGGAAGGGGAGGACATGAGATTTTATCGAATGCTTCCCAAAATTTTTGTGGGTCCCTGACCCCAAAGTTTCAGGAAAAAGGGGCGTGCCGGCAGCCATGTCTCCGACAACATTCTCTGCCCATTCTCACTTCTACATGCCAGCTCTCCGCTCCATTGTTTATCAATCAGAATGCCCCTCCCTGCATCAGTTCCCAAACTCGTGAATTAGAGATTGAAAAAGTTCAATAAAATTGTTAGATGGTTATGTTATTGAACAGTTACATTGGTAATTGGCGTGCTCTTTTACATGCTCTCCCTAACTCCCAGCGATACAACCGATATCGATCTGTAGGAAGTGTTGTGCAAAGTTTGAATTGGTTCAAAAATAGAATCGGAGCATGCAACATACTTGCATACAGACAGGAATGCAGATAACAGACTCAGGTTATACCAGGTTGGAAATTAAGTTTTGCACTATTTCAATAATTTTCTTCATTTTCGACATGGCGCGTCAAATTTTGCCATTATGTGGACTATGACGTACGCTACAAAAGCAGTTGCTCCCTACCAAGTTCTGACGTCGCAGTGAGGAATGCGATAGGTATATGGTATCAAATCAATGCAAAAGTAATGCGCGTTTTTTTAGCCCCGGCTTCAGAACAACTTTTCTACATCAAACCTTCTTTGAAAAAGACATACTGTTGAGAAGCTCTTTTAGTGCTCGATGACGGTTGAAACAAGCTTCTAGTTTCACTTGTTAAAAATATGCATAGGTTTACACAACCGTACTCAAAATCAGAATTCCACTGCATTCAAATTTCTGGCTAAAAATTAAACGCTAATGGAGGCATTCTCTTGAAATTTCAGCTACTGTATGTAGTAAAATTTTTCTATATTATTTACACTTTGTCATTTTCTTGAAGTTTATTCAGAGTGAGATATCAGCGCCTCAACATGGGTAGTCGTTTTGGTCATTTTATGGCCCATAAGTTTCTTTTAAAGAACGCAATCGATAAAATTTTCCTCATTTCTATAAGCGTAAGGGCAGGCCTTCTGTTGACACTTTTTGCACAAACATTTGGCTCTTTAGTACGCAAAAAAATCAAGAAATTCATGTCTTGGGATTCTGTGGCATACGAAAAAATGTTGAAAAACCCTGACAATTTTGAATCATTTTTCTCTTTTCGCAAATTTCTTTTGTTTGAGCCCCTCATCTTGTTTTGTACTACTGGCTTGCGGCTACAAGACAGGCTACTTAGCATTTTCGCTTACTAATTTTGAAGGATGTTATGACCAGTTAAAAACGAGGTTTTAGCGAAAAACTTCTTTTGCTTATCAGTCGATAATTTTCTGGCCATCTGTGATATGACTATAGGAGGATGTGCGCTGCATACGAAAGGTTTGCTGCCTCTGAGAATCTTTATCGCATCATCAAAAAATATAGATTCTTAAGAAAGTTATGCACGTTAAAATGAGAACTCGCAAAACGTGCATTATTTTTGCATCAACCTTATACAAAGAAATAATTATAAAATTTTACAGATTGCGGAAACTTGGCATAGTGGGGTCATACGACTTGCTGATCTTGAAAACATACTGAAATTGCATGGTAAGAGCTTTTTTGTAAGGTTACTGTAAGTTTACGGTTTAAGGTTTCACCCCAATCAAGAAAAAAGGGTTGATTCAGCGAATAAAAGTGATGTTCATGTTTGTAATGTTAAATAACCCCCAATATGTGAAGTTTCTTTAAAGGCATGTCTCACCAAAATTTACTTGCCGAGTTTTTTGCATTTTGCAAGCCTGTCGGACCCTGTCTAGCACAGTAGCCTAAAATCGCACGAAGTTCCCAAAAACCCCGTTTTCTGGAGGCCCCGCGGAAACAACGTGGACGAGTTGTACCTTTCAACTTCAGCCTCAGCCACAGTGGCAGCAACAGAGGGGAGGTGGATGCCAAGTGGAGGGACATGTTCAAACGCGTAAGGGGGGAGACCGAAGGAGTCGTTAACTGTGAGGGCGTTAAATTCCCAATCATCTTCAAATTTCATTTCTTTTTTATTAGGTTAAATAACTCGACCCTTATTAAAGTAGTACACACAATTTCGGATCATTTTTCATGATCTATGATGTTAACGGCTTCATTTTAGCTCATAACCCCAAAATTCCCCCGAATCATCAATTTTTGAAAAACGTCTCTAGTTTTTCTAATTCGTTTTCAAAGCTTACATAGTTTGGCACATAGAACGCATTACTTTCTACTTATTGCCATTTTTGAGCGCGCAACATCCAAAGAGAGTAAAGTTTGAAGAGAGTTGCAAAACTTAGTTTCCAAACCCAAAATATGTTAGGTTAGTGCAGAAGTTTTGTCGGATTATTTGTGAAAAATCATATTCACTTCTTGCTCTCTCAACGGATTGGCATAAGCTTACATTTGTTAGTTGGAGGAAACCATTCTCTTTGTGATAATGCCTTTGCTGCTCTCTAATAAGGGGTAGCTTTTGGGATGGAAGCAGGAGAATAGATACTTCAGCTATGATCATTTAGGCTGCCAAAAATCTGAAACTTGCGATAAGATCTCGTTTCTGTGCAGAGTTATCAGTTTACAAAACAGCAAATTTGGTTTTTTGGCATTTGTTCACAGAAATTTTGTTTGACACACTATGCACTATTGGAAATTGTGGATCGAAAAACTCTATACTGCTTGCTCGGAAATTTATCGCAAGTTTCAGATTTTTAGCAACCTAACTCAAAATAACCGGAGTTGAAGTAATTTTATTCTCCTGCTTCCATTTCAAAAGCAACCCCTTACTAGAAAGCAGCAAAGGCACCATCATAAAGAAAAGGGTTTGCTCAGTCTAGCAAAATTGAATTTGTGCAGATCCTTGAAAGAGCAGGAAGTGAAGTTATATTTTTTCAATTATGCGACAGAATTTTTGCATCAAACTAATAAGATATGTGTGAGCAAGTTGGAACTCTGTGAGATTTTTTCAAATGAAGACATACTTTTTGCTCAATGAAAAACTCTATATTTTGGCTTTGAACTTCACGTGGATCAAACTTGGAGCAAAGTTTGGAAGTCTTCCCAAAGAGTGCTCCTTGCTCTAAAGAGAAAGTCAGGATTCTAGTTCAAAAGATAATAAGATAATCAATAGTATGATAAAAAACATTTTATCTAATAAAAAAAAAAAGCCGTGCACATTATTACCTTCAACCGGATGTGCAGGTAGTCTTTCAGCAAAGTGCTGATTTTCGAAGGCCCCTCTGTCGATTGGTTCTGTTTCTCCTAAAATACAATTTTTGTTGGGAGCATAACACTCGAAAAAAATTAGTAATCTAGTAAAAATGTCTTAATATTTAAATAAATTTGAGCAACGAGTTAGGCTTGGTCAGATCACACCCTATCTAAGTACAACTGCACTGCACACAAGAACTTACCGTAATCAGGTTACTGTAATTTACCGTAACACCAGTGTGCAATACAGTACAGTTTTGCTCTTCAATATTCATTGCGATTTGCGATATAATGTGAAACACAGACAACATGCATTAAGTATGTACAAGAGTGAATTTTGCAGTGGATAAATAACGATGTTTTAGGCGCACTTAATATTGCACATTAAATTTTCAATATTCCGTTCTATCATGTGCGACTTGCGGCGAAGCGAATATCGCGCATAGATGCTCGAATAATCACTTGTTTCAAACTTTTTCACAATTATTTCTTATTAGGTAAGGGCGTCGCTAAATCATATGCAGTGCGATAAATACCCTTAGCCATATTTTCATCAAAATTTGGATCTTCTAACCATGGATATTCAAAATTCGGCGGTGTAATCGGATCGAGATCTTCTTCTTTTCGAATGCGTTGAATTTTTACCAGTGGTAAAATGTTTGTGTTTATACTACTTTTTTGAACTGGTTCTGATATTGGTGCCACCAAATCCTCGTCAGTTTCCAATTTCTCGGAACTTTTGGCTACTCTTGCGCTGATAGGCTTACTTGTCAAACTTTCCAACCCCGTCCAATCATAGTCTGGATTCTCTACCCAATCAAACATTCCCTTAGTGGAGTCAGCTCCCAGCTGTACTGGATCTAGCGGCTTAGCATTTTTGATTAGTTTAGTAATGTCAATCACTGAAGACTCACGCAAAGGAACTGCTGCATGAGCGCGAAAATGTTCCGACTTAAGTTTAGGAATTTTGGAAAAGTTTGGATTCTTCTGTTCTTCTTTGTCCGGAGGGAACATGTCCGGATAGAGTTGGCGCATAGCTTCAAGACGATCGGCTTCGTAAGGATCGAAAGCATCGTAGTCGCTGGGACCAGGACTCAGGTTTAGATGTCGAGCATTCGGATCGCACGGCATCAGCTCCTAAATAAAATTCGTAGAAGTAGCATAATTGAATAAATAAGTTAAAATACTGCAGATCAAAAATTTTCCTTGTGATCTATGAGTGCAAGAAAAATTTACCTAAATAATAAAAGATAATCTCTTTGGTGTGGACGAATACCTGCATACCCCAAGACTTTCCCTCCCTTCCGCCCCTCCCCTTTTCAGCGCAGAAGCTATGCAAATGATTAGTAAACATTCTTCCTTCATAGGTTTTGTTTGGTAGTAATAAGTTTTAAGGCAGGCAATAAGCCTGAAATTGAGTCAATCACTCATTAACCAAACGATCTGGACCATCAGGCATTTCCTCCAAAACACGAACTCTCTGTCGTGATGCAGAAAAGCTCTCAAATTGCACAGCTTGTCAAGGTTTTTCTGGTGAAAAACATAAACATCAGGGCTTGGTACAGGTGGGTTGTAAGCAAACTGGATATCGTTTTTGGGACAAAAAGCAAAGGGGAATCGTGTTTGGGCCGAAAAGGCACAAAAATTGTGAAGTTTTTTTTAATCGACGTTTCGCTTTTTGAGGATTTTTTTACGTTTGACTAGGGTCAAAGGGGGCTTCGTAAGAATCACGGAAGTCAAGGGGGACTTCGTTTTTTGCACTTTCCAAAAGTTACCTCGTGCCGAGCCCTGGTAAGGATGTTGGCTCTTTCTTGCGGTCCCCCACAGCAATTGACAAAAGGAGCGTTCTGGATAAGTAGGATACGCTTGGATAGTGTAAGCTGCTCACAGCTTCCGAAAAGGTATTAACGGCTCCAGAACACTTGTGATGGACAGATATTCATTCTTGCTGTTCATTTTAGGGTTAGAAGCAAGTATAAATGAAGCCTCAAACGCTTTTAGCAGCAATAATCTACTGCTAAGACACAACACTTAATGTCATCTTCTCCATGGTTCTCCCTCCGTCCTGTGTTTTACAAGAGGGCTTAAGAGGCCTGTCTTTTCTTTCTAGCCAGATGTCACTAATGCGTACATAAAGTGGTAAAACAATTTCGCCTATGTAAATGGCATGGCATATATACATTCCAACTGGTAACCATCCGACTTTCGAGCAGTTTCCTAGTCTCTAATCTGTGCAAATAGCGCATCTGCATTGCGCATTGTTGTCATAGAAATTGAGGACCAATTGCCTCTTAGAGTTTGGGGTATGTCCACTAAAACAACAGTATCAACTGATTGCGTTTGTAGTAGATTCTGGAATGGTTCGAAACTTTATCGGACACGAAAGGCAAGTGTAATGACATACGAGGCAGATCTGGTTGCTACCATTTGCGCATGTTAACTTGCGAGATTTGAAATGCAGCTAGTAATCGTTCTTAAAGGCAGTGGGTCGGCAAAATGAGACCCCTGGCAAAATAAGGTCACAGGGTAGGAGCCACCATATGGAACCTATGGGCCAAAGTTCGATCTTTCTCTTCCAATTCTAACCCCCGAAATTTCAAAACGAAAGCAGCGCTCATCTCCTGTCCTCTCCGAACCCGCCCACCCCATGGACGAGTGAGGCGGAGCCCGTCATGGCGAAGACGCAGAGTCGTTGCGGGACCTCATGCTTTTAGCATTGCGGCTGGCGCTCTGACCGCGGAAGTCACTCGTCCATGGGGTGGGCGGGTTCGGAGAGGACAGGAGATGAGCGCTGCTTTCGCTTTGAAATTTCGGGGGTTAGAAGTGGCAGAGAAAGACCGACTTTGGCTCATAGGTTCCATATGGGGGCTCCTGCCCTGTGACTTTGTTTTGTCACGGGTCTCATTCTGCCGATATACTGCCTTTAATTACCGTCTGCGCCCCACAGAGGTTCCCATGTGAACCAGCGTGCGTACGTGGTGCGACGCTGCCTTTGGCTCTTTTTGACACGTTTCTCCTGAGATTTCAACGGAAGTGCCCGAGGTTAACACGTGCAAAAGTGCGAAAGGCAGCGAGATGACGTGGTACCTGTGGGAACCTTGCTGGGGAACAAACGATACCTCGTGTGCCATTCTAGTGGGCTCTACTCTTTCTCCTTCACCGCTTCAAACACTGCTCGTTTTGAACATATTGGGATAATCGTTCGTTTCACAGCAAACGGATGCGAAGATGTGGCACGCAGAATTATTTTCTTGAACGCAGCGTCCGGGCAGAATCTCAAATGCTATTTTTTGTCTTATCCAGGCCTTTTCATGTCCTGATTCCAAATATGGCACTATAAATGTACGAATTCTTCAAAAACCCCGTTTTTGAGACAATTTTGCAATAACCATAAACGAGTGCCCCTAGTGCTATCCTTGTCGAAAGCCAGCATTAACAGATAGACACTTCTGTTCGATTGTGTTTGCCACGTGAAAACACGTCAAGGGCTGGGGAGAGTTCGTTCAAGAGGAGTTGGGCCGCGCGAGGAAGTAGGCACGGTCCTCAAGCTCGGCGTTTTCTGTGCCGCTTTTTTCGTTTTACAGGAGGTGTTTGAAAGTTGGATTTGGCATAGGTTCTAATCAGGGTTTTAGTACCCGGTTATGATGGTATCTGAGAATGTCCAAATCTGCCCAAATGCTGCCCTTAAGGCTCTCTTTTAGATACCATCTGACATGTTTTCCGTTTCCCAACATCACTGTTCAATCACACGTGACAGCAAAAATCGTGCGATTTTTGTCTAATCAAGCTAGTGTGCTGTAATTGTATTGAGAATTCTGAGACACTCATCCATTTTGGATTAAGTTGCAGAAGCAACGCAACAATCGTCAATATAGCGGCAGTACATCAGGGAAGATCGCGATAATACCGGCACCTCTATTTTACTCATAAAGAAGCAGCGAGCGCTGGTGCCAATCCTCGCCCATCGCCTGTCCTCCTAGTTGTGCATAATATTAGCACTATCATTTAGGCATTGCATGGTTCAGAAATGGAATTTTCTATTCGGAACATACGGCGGAGCCGGGTAAGCCAGCTAGTCGATGATATGCGACATGAAAACATCAAAGAGCCCTTGTAAGGAGTCATAATTGGACACCTTGGGGTATGATGACGTCAGACTAAACGATTTCGTTAGCATTTTTGATCGAAATGCATTTGCGTAATTGGTCGAGGAGCCGACTAGTGATTGGCAAATGAGCGCGGATCTTATATAAAGGCTAGTCGGCGATCTTGTTTAGAAACCTACGAGCCTCTATCAGTAGGCCCACCTACTCAGCTGATTCTTGGCCGAGTTTTGCAAAACGCAGGGTAAGGGAATATATGTCGCCGAAAGTTGGAGACCCTCTGGACATCTGCAACAAATGCACACCAGTATATGCACAAACTGAGTATCTGCTGAATTATCCGTGCGGGACCTTCCCACTCTCGCCGACATACAGTCCTCTACCTCAAGACGCAACGGACACATCTTGCAGGGGGTAGAGGAACGAACACCTCAATTAGGTACCGCCTCCGCGGACTACTGGTCCTAAGACGATGCACAACAGTGGGACGAAAGGACCAGCAGCCCGCGGAGGCATTGCCCATTTGAAGCGTTCGTTCCTCTACCCTCTCGCAGGTCTGTGAAATTAATTTCTTCTTCTTTAAACGTACTCCGTAAATGCTTCAAAACAAAAAAAATGTGAAAAAGAAAAACCGGTGCAAAGTACTGGTATGGTATTTGCGTAGCACTAGCCATAATTTGTTGTATGAATAGAAATGAAAAAATAAACAGTTTTTGAAAAATCCAAATAAAAGCAAGGTCAATTAAAACTCAATAGACAGCAAAATAAAGTATAAACAATGAATAAACAGGGAATCCATATGTGTGGAGCTGCTACCCTTATAAAGGGATATAAAATTGTTCTTCTTTAGTTACATTATGGAAAAATCAATGTAAATTCGAGAAATCAACCTACCTTGTTTTGTCCAGGACAATTGAACCCTTTGACAGTATTACATGCTCTCACCCGCATTCGCACTCCATTCCGACAAATAGACCAAGCAGACCAAGCTGCCCAAACGGAAGCATATACTGTAAGGATACTGTATTAATACCGTCTCGATAATTAGTTCAAAAACCTGCGAATCTGAATGGGAAGAAAAACAGTTTTTCAAAAGAAACCTGGGTATGTCCTGAGGTTTTCGCAAATTGTTGTCCCTACCCCCCCCCCCCCATCCCACTCTCCTTCCTACGAAAGGCTAAAATTTTCAGACTCTGTTTGAGCACTAGGATTACAAAACAAACTTCTTTTTACTTTACAGATTTGCACTTTATAAAAATACTGAGCGCTCCCCTCCCCCTCCCCCCCCCGAGAGTGGGTCGCGAAAATTCTGAAAATCACTTATGAAGGTTAAAATGTGCAAATGACTTGTTTAATCTTGTAAATAATTAACATAATTTTTTAAATTTTTTAAAAATCCAAATTAGCCTTGCAAAAAAATTTTTTCTAAATTTTAACGGTCGTGGGCCGCAAAAATTTCGTGAAACACCTCAAAACATTTTTTGGAGTGCGGCTAACGCCACGCACCTTCACTCGAAAAAAATTTTTGCCCCCCCCCCACCGCCTGCATGGAAACCCTGCGACCGCCACCGCAAGTATTCCAGAGCTTTGAGAGCATAAACTAAATTTAGAAAATATCGAAAAATTTCAGTTTCTGATCTATAAAAAGTCTGGGAGCTCTTGCCCCATGGTTAAAATTCCTTGGGCCATGTTCTGAAATCTCGAAAAGGCTCAATCACATTCCTATGTTGTGCTAGTCCTTCACAGTTCGCATTTCGTTAATACACAATTTGAATTTCCTTACTTGTACCCTCCCCCTTATCCTACTCTTCCCTTCTTATCCTCACAGAAAATTCCAAAGATAGTGATAGTCCTACGTTTATTGTTCGTATCCAGTTTTGAGTGATCCTAATCAGTGATACCGCGTTTCGATCACTTTCGATTCCAAGAAGAGACGGACGGGTAAATTTATGGGTCATCAGTCGTAACACTGACTGGACGTGCAACATCACTAGCAATTTCGCCAAAAGTTTCATTCATATGACACCACACATCTCGAAACTAGCATTTAACGGCGAAAGTTTCAATGGAAAAAGAGGAAGTGACCCATTTGACGCATGTAACAGAATGTTTCTAACAGTAAGTATCAAGTTGCGCGGGAATGTTTTGAATTCACCGCAACAGTGTTAAGAGAATTCGAAAGTCCACGGAAGGAAGCTATTTGTCAGTAAGTTGTTATCCTCATTTCTACAGCTCATAATTAATGAGCGCCAAAAAGTATTGAGTCTATTTTTGCAATACCATGCTTGCCCAAATGAACCTTCAATATTGAAAATTAAGCAAAAAATAAAAAATTTCTCCGGAAATTCCGCCACACAGAAACTGCTAGAGTTCCAGGATGAAATCTTTACATTGCGTTTAGCTAACTACGAACCCTAGAGAAGTATGCTCTAACAAAGTCCTGCGGAACTTCCAACGTACAAAAATGTTTCAGTAGCGTTTATGCTATTTATGTACCGCGCTTGCCTGACTACGAACTTTACATCGAGGTAGGTTGCCTCCAAACTTCCGCGGAACTTTCGCCCCAGACACCAAAGTGCTAAATTCCAACAGATATGATATTTTTTATTTCCATCATTATGCTGTTACTGATTTTAGAATTTTAAGCTTTTAAGCTAACCTCTTGATGAATCTAATCTTTCCCAGCAAGTTTTTCAACGAAATTTTATCCATACCATGAAATTTAGGTACTAATTTTTGAGCAGTACGGGCCTGTACTCAAGAATTTTTCGAAGCACAGCTTTCCCCAAAATTTGGGAACGTTGTAAGGCCTTAGCATAAAACTGAAACTAATATACTACTCTGAGCAGCCTCTATTCACGCAAAACTCACTGTATAGTAAAAATTCAATAAATGAAAAGAATGAAAAGAGCAAAGACAATTTCGTAAAAAAACTCACTGAACTCGGCATTTGCCGGGAACGGCCGTGGAGTTACGTAACCTCTAAACTGGTTAAGTTTTCCCGTTGGGGCCCAATCAGGCTCCGACGTTGGGGACCATTCTGGCTCTGGCGATTGTGCGGCTGTAAAAAGATTTATCTGACAAGTTTTCTAATAAACTCATAATAAAAAAGACTATAAGGAGCCTTTCTGGCAAAAAAAGACATAATATACATAAAAATGAGAATGAAGGGAGAGAATTTTGGAGGTTAAAGTCACGTTGGCCTGCGCAAATTTTTCTTGTCTTACTGAAAAATATGGCAAATAAGTAAAAATCCATAATGAATTGCAATATCCCTGTTGATGGGCTTTGTGAAACCCTGGAAATCTTCCTGGATCCCCAGCAACGAAGGGTATCTGCACAGACACTTTATTCCATGGAGGCCAATAACGATTATAACATAACGACTTCTTCCTCTTTCAGTTCCAGTTTTGCTTTTGCAAAGACATCTTGATTAGCAGTTAGGGCAACGCTGATGTCGGGAAAGCTCATAAATGATGCATAAGATTCAAGAACATTTGAAATAGCTCTCTTTAATGTGCAATATGTGAAGGAGGATATATGAATCAGTTATTTCTTCTGAATGAACATACATACTGAGCATTTACAGAATAGCTGAGAAATCAATATAAACGGGATAATCCAGCCAGCTGTACACTAAATTTTTGATATGTCCAAATTTTTGAAGGGATTTTACGGGGTGTCTTCAATCAAAACTAAGTCAACGCACATATATATGATCTATCAGGCAATGTAAGTGCCCAAACGAAGAATTTTTCAGAGTATTTCGAATTGAACCATATTTTCTTTGAGGAAGTACAAATACATGATTGAATTTAAAAAAAAAACACTTCAAATTCATATCCTAACTGCTTATACAATTCACCGGAACTTTCGCCGGACAAGCATGGCATATTCTGCAGTCTGTTCCGCTTTTGTTTACTATTGCAAAATTGGAAACGTTGAAAATCGGACTCCTGCAGGATTTTCACCTCAGACTAATTGAAAACGTAACTTTCGCAGGACTTTTCACAAAGCGCTGCAGAACTTCTGAAAAATACCAGCGGTCCCGTGGCAGTTTGACATGCCAGTACTTTCGCAGGGTTTTGAATGTGTTATCTCGTATGCTTCGCCAACAACTAGAATGCATTATCGAAGATGTCATCGGTAGTGCAGAAGATAGTAGATGAGTGTCACAGTCAACAGAGTAAGGTTTAAAGTTCTCTTAGGCGTTCTCTTTTACTGTTGTGGTTCGCATTCTTTCGAAATTGCAGAGAACCTCATTTGGGAACTTCCGCAGGACGTTTACAAAACTTCCGCAGGTGATCCGGCGGATTTTGGTATACACCAAGCTGGTACCACAACGGGTATAACTGTTTATTAGATAGTAGCGGAGCAGCCGCTGACTATTAACAGTGAATATGCGGAACAGCCGCTGACTGGTATTAATCGAACCAACCCCAGAACTGAGTATTCGGGCCCTTTTATGCCACTATTTTGGGCGTGGATAACCTGAATGCTCACTTCTGGCTAATAACAGTATCATACAGAATCAAGGATTGCCTACATGAAAGTAGGCGCCGCCAAGTAGACTATCAAGCACAGTGGAGGGGTGACCTGGCGGCTTAAGTGGTGAGTGAACAGTAATGTCTGTCAACGACAAACTAGTGGATACTGAATATAGCATACAATATGACTCTACAATGGTAAAGGTCGTAGATTCGCAAATAATCTACGACAGTGGGGCGCGCGACGGAAGGCGCGAAAGCAAGAAAATACAAATTACACTATTACTGAAGCGTTAACAAATTCAAATTACATCATCACAACATTAGTTAAATTACATATATCACATGAGTTCTACAACAGGTTTGTGTTCTCGTCTAAGAATCCTACGATGGTCGGTCATCGTGCCGTGATCGGCCTTCGGGGCCAGGCGCAACGCTGAAGCGAAATGTCCCAGTTGAGCTTCAGTATTCTTCTTCACCGACTGTCCATGAGTCCTTGATTTTCGGCGTTTGCGATTGAACTGCAGTCCATCAAAGGCGTTGTTGCGTTGATCGCTTCTGCTTTTCGTTGGTGACTTTACAGGTTGTGCCCGAATCGGAATCTTTGCCGGAATCGAACAGTCGAGCTTCTTCACACGGCGTTTTGAACTTGCGCGGTTCGTTTGTTCAACAGTTGTAGTTGGCTTCTGCTTCACTGAGTCTCCTTTACTAACTGGATGGTAGGAGGCGCTGGTGATTGCGGTGTTTTGCGAATACTCCTCCGTTTTGATTCCGTACATACGACTGCTTCCGGAGATTGCATGGCCGAAAACAGTAGGGGTGAGAATAAGCCCAGACGGAAGAATTGTACATGGTCGATCCCTCAAGATGAATTGATCAATTAGATCTTGACCAATAAGAATGTCCGGTGTGATCCGTCGCGTCTTCAGATCCGGTTGTGCTACTCGAATCTTTCTTTTTCGAATCAACCTTCTATCCTCTGCGCTTAGCCAAGCTGTGCGCATCGTGGAAGTGAGTGTTGACTTTGTATGTATCTTCACATCTTTGGCAGCGACTCCGGCAGACATTGTTCTCAGAGTAAGCGGGACTTCACTGGATGTGAAATTTGCGGTAGATCCTCCAAAGCCGCCAATCTTGAAAGTGGTGTTTTGCAGCACCGGTAAGCCAAGAGCTTGGGTCTTCCTTGTGTTGATGAAGCTCTTTTGTGCACCTCCATCAAAGAAGACAGTCACGGGCTTATAGTTGGTCGATGTGTAGTCGTATGCGAATGCAGTCGCCGTCATCAGTACGTGCTGCATTCCTCCTTCTCGTTTAGTGCTCTTGTTGTGGAGAATTTCAGAATTTTGTGCAAATTCAGGGTCTCTTGGGAGATGTTGATCGCGAGCAGACCGTTGCTGCGATCGCCTGGTTGGGGTGCCTCTAGATGCTGAACCCATGCATACGGCAGTGTGATGGTTTCCGTGACACCTGTAGCATGACTGTGAGCTTGTGCAATCACTGATCCTGTGATCGGTTTGAAGACATCTGAAGCACAGCCTTTGCTTCCTGGCTTCATCACGTCGCTCTGCTGGTGTTTGGAATGTTGTGCATCGCGTCGCATCATGTTGATAACTTCCGCAAATGCACCGAGCACTCGAATCTCTCGGCGATGTAACTCCTCGTCGATATTTTGAAGTGTATGCGATTGAGTCTTCTTCGTAGTTCAGCCTCTCATCAACTTCTTGATCGGAATCAGAGCGTGCCGTAATGTTGCAATCCCCAAATGCGGATGTAGTTAGTGCGAGGGTCTCCTTTAAAGCGACAGCGTTTTCAAGAACGTCCAGGATCATCTCAGTTGTGAATGATTTCCCTTCATTCTGCTCTTCGCGAAGCACTTTCTCGTTCAGCGAGTCTGGAAACTTCGAAAGTATCAGTCGTCTCCACATTCGGTTGTTGTCCAAGGGTACTCCTGCACATTCGATGTGAGTGAGTTTCTCCGTCACACTAATCAGAGCTTTTCTACAACTTTGAGCGTCTTCTTCTGCTCGTGGAAGCCTTTCGAGCTCTGTGATTAGCAGATCTGCTATGCATCCAGACTTGTTGAAGCGCTTATCGAGAAGTAGTATAGCTTTGTCGTAGTTCTCTCCGATGACTGGCATATTGCCAAGAAGTGAAGCTGCTGTTCCTTTTAATGCCTGCCTCAAGAAAAGGAACTTGTCCACGTTGCTGAGGTGCGGGTTGCTATGGATCAGCGAGTTGAATATTGTCCAGAAAGTTGGATACTCCTTATAGCTACCATCGAAAGTGGGAACTTCAAGCTGCGGTAGTCGTATCTTGTTCTCGCTGTATTGTCTGGCGGAGAGAGTACTAGCTGTATCCCTATCTTGTGGTGGAGTCTGGGCCGTTGAAGAAGCGAGATTGTCTATCAGGCTTGACTGTTTCTCAAGTTCCCTCATCCGATACTTCAACTTGCTTGTCCAGTGTATTGCTTCTAGTTGTACACGATGAGCTTCGGTTGTTAAGAAGGAATCTAGATCATTCATCAGCTTTTCCCTCTCTGATTGGTCCTTCTTGGCTCCAATGAAAGTCATGGCATTTTGCATGCGGACCTCCAGGTTTTCTAGCAAACACGTGAGAGAAATCTGTATTTCGTCGATTTCCGCCATTTTGTCGGCTATGAAGACATTGCATTCCGTTACTGTGTTGGGGAATTCAAATGCTCTGTCTATGCTCAGGATTCTGCTCTCGAGGCTATTAAGTGCAGAGCATGCCATTGAGATGGGCGTCTTGAATCCAACCAATTCGGACATAGTTTGTCTCGTTCGCATGGACTGAATGCAGGTAAAAAGCTTGAAGTAGCTTCTTTTGCTGAGCTATGGGTTGACCTGATAGCTAGCAGCAAGCTTTTGATTTGACTGTTGTTGATCAACCGTCAAGGAGCTTGGGTGGGTCGTCTGCTAACTGTGGATTGACCAGGCAGCTAGTTTGACCTCTTTACTAAGCTGTGGATTGGACCTGACAGCTTAATAAGGTGACTCTTGTATGTGAAAGTGGATGAACCAGCAATCACAGAGTCTTTTTTGGCTGTTGGAAGCCAAAAAAATTCGAGGAGTTCTTTTACTAACTGTGGATGAACCAGTCAGCTAGTTAGAAACCTCTGCTAAGCTAAGGATAGGACCTAATAGCTTAGCGAGTTGACTCTTGTATGTGAAAGTGGATGAACCAGCAATCACAGAGTCTTTTTCGGCTGTTGGAAGCCAAAAAAATTCGAGGAGTTCTTTTACTAACTGTGGATGAACCAGTCAGCTAGTTAGAAACCTCTGCTAAGCTATGGATAGGACCTGATAGCTTAGCGAGTTGACTATTGTATGTGAAAGTGGATGAACCAGCAATCACAGAGTCTTTTTTGGCTGTTGGAAGCCAAAAAATTCGAGGAGTTCTTTTACTAACTGTGGATGAACCAGTCAATTAGTTAGAAAACCTCTGCTAAGCTATGGATAGGACCTGATAGCTTAGCAAGACTCGTATTAGTAAAAGTGGATAACCAACAATTACTAGAGTCGAATATTGGCTAATTAGTAGCCTAGAGTGCGAGGAGTCTGTCGCTAACTGTGGATGAACCAGTCAGTTAGCTAGAAACCTCTACTAAGCTGTGGATAGGACCTGACAGCTTAGTAAGACTCTTGGTCGCGAAAGTGGATGAACCAGCAATCACGAGAGTCGAATAATCGGCTGTTAGTAGCCTGCCACGCGGGACTTTTATCGAATTTCGGTGAGCCACCGAAGAGACGATCCGTTGGCCGATGCACCAATTTGGTATACACCAAGCTGGTACCACAACGGGTATAACTGTTTATTAGATAGTAGCGGAGCAGCCGCTGACTATTAACAGTGAATATGCGGAACAGCCGCTGACGATAGTGGTATTAATCGAACCAACCCCAGAACTGAGTATTCGGGCCCTTTTATGCCACTATTTTGGGCGTGGATAACCTGAATGCTCACTTCTGGCAAATAACAGTATCATACAGAATCAAGGATTGCCTACATGAAAGTAGGCGCCGCCAAGTAGACTATCAAGCACAGTGGAGGGGTGACCTGGCGGCTTAAGTGGTGA